AAAAAAAAAAAAAAAAAAAAAAAAAATGCATATAATATTATGAATAAATCCTAGTTAGAGTGGAAGAACATTCTCCAACAAGAGTTCACATTCATTTTACTGAAACTGCAGCATATTTTAAAAACTTCCTTTTAATCTAAATTTCAAAATTGTAGGATGATGGAAATAGATGGTAAAAGATCACCAATCCTTTCAATGCCATCTTTACTTTAAATTATAACATTTTTCTCATGTATTGGTCTTGTCTGTTCACAACACCACCTACATTTTTGCCCACTTGTCCAATTCCCTCTCTATCTTCTCTTTGATACTCTTAGGTTGCAGGCCCAGAGAGTTTCCACACAAATAAATACATTCTTCTTCTGGATCCACAAGGCTTAGATCAACTTCAAGAAACATTTTTAATGTATTTTAATTACCAGCATAGAGATCAAAGAGCTTTACAGTAAAACTGAGCTGAAAAGGCATCATACACTACTATGACTGGCACAAAGAACAAATTCACAATATACAGACTGGCACAACCAGATGGCACAACTAACACATTCACAATTAAGACAGGCACAACTTCCACATTCCCAATACAGACCAGCACAACCAGATGGCACAACTTACACATTCACAATTAAGACTGGCACAACCAGATGGAATCACTAACACATCCTCTATAAACCCCAGATGGCACAACTAACGCATTCACGATTAAGATTGGCACAACCACATAGCACAACTAAAACGGTCATCACATCCAGTGCAAGCTCACGGCACTTACCATCAGGTAAATCTTTCATTTTAGGATAGATGAAATCCAACCTCAGAGAACGGAGAGGATCGTTTGCATCCATGTGCTGGGCAAACTTAATGTCTGTGACATCACATCCCAGTTTTTCTGCTTGCTTGTTGAGTATAACTGAAGGATGCTGGGATACGTTATCTATTACTGGTACATCATTTTTGTCTGCCATCTTGGACCTAATGAATAAACGAAGATTTTTTTTACTTACCAATATCAACATATTGAATATGATACTAATCTAGAAACTGTTAAGATATAATCAAACTATTGAAAAAAATTACTGATAAATAATCTGAAAGAATTTTGAAAAGGGCATGCCTTAGTACTCACAAAAATTGCTCAATATGAAGGTTACTCATGCATTTAAGAAGACCATTCCCAAAGATATTTGGATCATTCTATCTTCCTGGGGAGTCTCACTAAATAACTGTCAACTCGTCTTTCACACCTAGTAAAGCTAATAGGGGGTAATTATCTTTACCCCCTAGGTGATTCGGTAGGCGTGACAGACATAAGTCATGTGACAGGTGACACTACGAGCAATTCAAAAGGAGGAAACACTGTATATTTGTACTCATACGCTTTATTACTGCTGCTTGTTTACACAAACTTGTGTGACAATATGTAAGGTACAAATCTGAAATAAAAAGACCAAAAATATGCTTAAATAACTGACCAAAAACCCTTGAAGCTTAGAGCACATTATACATATTATTTATAAAAAAAAACTTAGATAAATATTAATACAAGTGAATAAAATTCAATAATAAAGAAAACAGATGGCAAGCTACTTGCAGCCCAACAAGGGAGACAAAGAAAGTAAATTAATAAATGACAAACTGCCTCCAATAATACAACAATATGCATGAAATATGACAGTGCAAGTTACCGCACTGCATTTGAAATTGTACATGTCCACACCCTAATCTTTACTTCTGCAAAAACCACAGTATATATATACCCAAAAACCAAATATTAACTCCTCCATATACATGTATAAACTTAATAGCGACAATACAACATGACAGCTGAGAATAAAGTATAAGTAAAGCATTAAACTTACAATTTTATGTCCTTTTTTGTACCGCTTCCTAAGTTCTTGCTTCTTCCTTGGGTGATGTCTGCTGTGTGAAATGAACTACTCACTCTAAGTGGCACTGCCCATTACTGACTGTGGGGTGTGTGGGTTGTACTAAGTGTAGGGGTGTAAGGTGTCTGTCCTTTGCAAGCCGGTGTAACATGGACATATGACTCCCATGAAAATCTGACTCCCCCAGTCAAATTTTCAGATTGAAAATGTGACTCCCCCCATGAAATTTTGACTTCCCCTCACAAAACTTTATGAATCTTATTTTATTTGAGTATATAACTTTTATCTTATAGTATGCATAATGGAAGATACATTGGCACTTTTTGTTAGTTTGCAGGTGAAAATTTTCACGAGAAAATAAGAAAATTTAAAATGTGTATTTTACCACCCAATGACTCCCCCTAGCAATTTAGTGAGACTCCCCAGGGAGTTAGGGCGATCCAGATGGATCAATCTAGGCATGGGAACCCAGTCTAAGACACACGTGTACACAAACACGAACATGCAAACACACATGGACACGCTAAGAAGGACACACACGGCAAAAAATACATTGTAAAATTTAAACAACCATATCAGGGCAGGGCTGGACAAGGCTACTTGATTCTTATCTGACTTATAATGACAGCAACTCTTCATTTTGGTGGGAAATGATCCATAAAATGGATTTTCCTTGGGCAAAGGCAAAGTTCCCATGCTTACCAATGGTTAATGTATCTGTTCTGACATTCAAAGCTAGTCAATTATTACTTATTTATTTATTTATTTATTTATTTTCTAAGGAGCTGTTTTGTAATAATTTCGTTAGGGATTTTAGGTAGGGTAGCCATTTTTGAAGGTTTACATGGTCTGATGGCAAGCACAGACTTCAAAATAATTGCTATGAACACAGTTTAGATGGTAAAACAGGATTGATAATACTGGCATTTCTATGGGTTGTTTACAATGAACTTATTGTGGAATTTTGAATCTCACATAAAGAGTTGTTATCTCTCTAAAAGGGTTTAGGACTAGAATAAGTGCCCATTATTAAACTGACAGGTCCATTTAGATTACCATCAGAATATACCCAAAGAAAATGTGAATAAAGATGTTGTTTTCTCATTAATCTCTACTCAGATTTACATCTACATGTGGCACTTTTATCACGCCATCATTAAAACAAATGAGGCCATTTTTCTGACCAATAGTCTAAGGGCTCATTCCCAACGAAACTAAGGGAGCATTCACATCGAGAAGAGCCGGGGTCTAGCAAGGCCGAGACCTAAATATGGCGGACCTACATGAAAGGAAGACTGCCTTATCTTTAAATGGTCTCTCAATGACTTTCAATGACCTCAGCTCTTCTCGACGTGAATGCTCTCTAACGTTGCATGTAGAAGGATAGCTTCACTGGGAATGAGCCGTAAGTATAGTAATCATTCAGTAAAGTGCTTCTGAAGAAACTTGAATGTTGTTTACCTGCAGGCACTAGTACTAGTAAATTTTTCAGGGGGTGGCTCATGGGGTTGTTACCAGATATTCATCCAGGCATCCACGAATAAAAATATTATCACCCAAACTTTTCTTGAGACATCCCTTTTACCTTTATTACATAGCATTTCCTTCCATACACTTGAAATTGCAATTAGCTACATGCAATGAGATAAACAGAATAAAGTCCCATTCAGATCGAGAAGAGCCGAGTGATAGCTAGGCCGCGACCTAAATATAGCAGACCTACATGAAAGGAACACCACTTAATGGTATCTCCACTTCTCACAGGCCTCCCTACGCGTTGTCCCTGCAGGGGCACAATATTGAATAATTAACTCTCGGCCCAATTCAACCAGTAGAGGCAAGACGCATGGGGAGGCGTATGAAAGGCGTAGAGACCATTACAGGATTTAGCTGTCTTCCTTTCATGTAGGTCCACCATATTTAGGTCACGGCCTAGCTAGCACTAGGCTCTTCTTGATCTGAATATGGCCTAAGCAAAATTGGTGGACATTTTGCAGTTGTAAGCTTGGTATGGCATGAATGGCCACAAATTCTGCTGATACCTTATAATTTTTATCTGATTGCATATAGCTAACATTGTGAAAGTGAATGCCACATTATAGCTAGGAAAGGGGTTTTGGAAAAAAATTAACTCGTAAGTTATGACAATAACAAGCAACTGTTAACAGCAATAGTGAGTTGTCATACTGCAATATTTCATGGCTCAGAAAGGCCTCTGATTTTTTTGTCTCTATGAACACAATGATGCATTTTACTTTGTAGTCAAAGTCAGTATACAGATACAACTATGCAGACAATACCACCATCACATAAAAACTATGAAATATGAAAAAAAAGGGGGACAAGAATCAAGTGAAATGCATATACTAGTGACTGCCAAACTACAACTGAACTAGTATTTATTGTAATAATACTTTCACAGGTAACAGTCACTAATAAGTAATTATGAGTTATCTGTGAAAAAATATAAGCAAGACTGGTATATTTTCTGAAACTTCTTTGCTAATTTTCACCTCTTACAAGTAAATGCTTCACTTCTTTTATTTGATCTAATTTCAAGTTTTGTGTTCCAGTGTGGCACTTCTGTATAGTAAAAGAATAAACAAGAGGAGAGAGACTAATTTATCACCAAGCCTAGGAGTTTGTGTCCTGGCACAGAGATTAAAAAAATATTTATGATGAATTACTAAGGTCATGTAGGTCTTTTTCTTTACAGTTAAGAAGACAAAAAATCATTTCCAAACAAGTGATACTGTCTAAAAAATTTCACTTTTGTTATGATTGAGCCACACTATCCTAACAACTTATTTTACAAAAAGATAAAATCTAAATTTGTTATACAGAAGAACAATAAAATTGAAGATATATCCTGTTTAAGATAAGGTATAAAAATAATTTTAAATTTTACAGTATGCATCAAAACCATGAGATTGGCTGCAATGTTGTTAAAAATATACTGACATTGGACAATTTTATTCATCTGTGAACTGAGGTCAAAATGTAAATGGAGTGTAATTTAACATTACTGTTTAAATAACTTTATTATTCAAATTTTCATGCTTTTGCAGTATCCCCCTTTTTCCATCTCTTTAATTCTTAAACATGTTTCACAAATTTCAGTTATGTAATACTCAGTTTGTGATGTTAAAGGATGACTGTGATACCCAAAGTCAACAAATAACTTAATAAAGTAAAGATATTTCAAATCAAAACACTTGTAAGGTGGGACAGAATTCTGCAAATTTATTTAAGTGACACAATTTCCATCGCTGTTTTTTTTTTCCTCTTTTTGTTAATCAATTAAAATATTTGAAGTTAAAATGTGAATTTGAAAGCTCAAAAGATATTTTGTTCAAATGATTTCATATATAACAACGACAAAAATCAAGGCCACCTGATTGACTTGAAAACTTGGTCTAACAATGTTGAACCTTNCTGAGCACTTCGTTATTCGGATTAATTTTAGTTTTGCAATTTATTTTGTAAGTACATAGCCTCTGACCGGTTCTGTTTTATGCTAATAAAATAGGATTAATTCCAGTTTTTATAATAAATATTATCATTTAAATATTGTATAGTTGTGAATTAAGTTATCACTAAATATCTTCTTGCCCAGGACTTGACGGGTCTGGAAGACATGGAAAGATGTCGGACTCTGCTGGAGCGACACAACTGGGACATGGAAGTAGCCGTACAAGACAGATTTAATGAGGAGGAGGGAAGACCGTCATTATTTAGAGACCAGCAGAGAGAAGTGAGGACACCTCCAGTGAATGTCAGTCCTGTAGACCAAAGGTAGAACTGGTGCTGTTATTTAGTTGACTTAATGTTATGGACTTAAGTCAGTGGTGGATTGGGCTAAAATGATTACACATGGGTGCATGCACATAAACACACGTAAGGAAAAAGTGGGTGTTGGATTAGGCTAAACTGAATACACGCATATCGGCATGCACACACATTTGCACACACACTTGATGCTATTATATAATTTAATCAGCTTTTAGTTATATGACTTTTTTTAAATTGATTTAATTTTATTAATTTTTTGTGATCTTTTTAGTTCTTGATTTGTTGTTATTCCAAGAAAAGAAATAAAAGATACAATATTTGAAACCATTTAACTTCTCTTGAAGTACAGAGGAAGGAAAAGAAGTGGCAAAAAGTTAAAGGGAAGAAAAATGTGTTACAGTAAAAAGTACACTGTGTAGTTACTGATTTTGATATTTTCTGCTTTCTTAATACAAAATTATATATAATTGAAAAACAGTATATTTATATTACATTTGTTTGTTTTAGGGTCATCCATATATCTCGAGGTCGACCACCCCAGGGGATTATGGGGTGGGGCATCTTTATAGTCATGCTTCCATTCAGATTTGTGTACAGCTCATTAATGGACATTCTACGGTTCTTTTGTAAGTGTGACCTCTTAGTTTAGTTTACAGCGGAAATAAATTGAAATTGAAATAGTGGACATTCTGCCTTTTTACGTGATTCCTCTCACTTCAGTTCACAACTGAAATGACTTGGACTTGAAATTTAAATGGTGGACAATATGGGGTCCTTATTTGATATTGAAATAATGGACATTCTGCATTTATTGTGTTTCTTCTTGGACCAGTCCAGTTTGGAATGGGTGGACATAAGAAGAATAGCTAATTAGCTTGTTTTAAATGAAGAATGATTAATTGCAGTTTATGTTTCGAGATATTTTTTCAATCAAGAAGGTCTAGGTTTAAAGTAGTACTGATGAATTCATGTATGACCCATAAGAGTAGAATTTAATATGGTTAACTATCTGTATTCCAGGGAGACTTTTTATGCCAGACCCAAGAAGAAGTGAGTATACAACAAGATGTAGAACTGTCCCATGAAACAAATAAATGTTAGGTCAAATAATGTTCATTCTTATCTCCTTAAATAATATTGCTTGCTCACATAAAACTAAAACATTTTTGTTCTAACAATTGTGGCCTCTTCAGGCCCGTAGCCAGAAATTTCAAAAGGGGGGTTCTTTTTCTGAAAAAGTGGACCTTTTCCCATAAAAACTTCATGTACATAAATCAAATTTTACCCAGAGTGGACCTTTTCCCAGCAAAAGGGGCGGTTCTTTCGAACCCCCCGAACCCCTCCCCCCGGCTACGGGCCTGCTCTTACACATCTAGAATGAGGTCTCTTGTGGACCCAACACAATTTTTAATAAGCCCTTTTTTTGCTGAAAAATGCTGAAGAACTGGAGTATTAACATCTCTTGACTTTAGCCATTGTTTTGTAAACTTATACTATATCTTTGTCTGGTTATAGCTGTAACAGACCCAGTTGGAGATGTGACCTCTTTTATACAGGAATATGACAGTCAGTTTGGTGAGACACATCCAGTATTTTACCAGGGCTCCTATAGCCAGGTAAGCACTTGGAATGGACTTTGTTCTTTCATAATGTGTACTTATCCAGTGTGGATATCAGGATGAGTGTGTACATCCTGTATGGATATTTTCAGGATGAGTGTGTACATCCTGTATGGATATTTTCAGGATGAGTGTGTACATCCTGTATGGATATTTTCAGGATGAGTGTGTAAATCCAGTATGGATATTTTCAGGATGAGTGTGTACATCCTGTATGGATATTTTCAGGATGAGTGTGTAAATCCAGTATTGATATTTCAGGATAAGTGTGCTCATGCAGTATTGACAATCTCATGCTTAGTCTATCCATCTTGCATGAGCATTTTTGTCATAGATGTGTCCATCTTATATGGGCACTTTCAGAAAAATTGTAGAAAAAAGTCAGAGAAAAGTCACATGAAGCTTTCAATAATATGTGTTTGGCACTTGCCAGCGAAATGATATTGAGTTTGCTATTTCAGGTCCTGAATGATGCCAAGAATGAGCTGAAATTTCTCCTAGTCTATTTACATGGTGATGACCACCAGGACACTCCAGAGTTCTGTAGGTAAGGAACATATTGTTCTGTAGGTAAAGAACAGATTTTGCTAGTATGTGCTATTTTTTGCCAGCAGACTGTGTTAGTTGTGACAGCTAAATGTGTTAGTTTTACAGTGGATTCTGATTGTTGTGAGAGCAGATTTTGTTAGTTGTGTCAGTATATTTGTGTATTATGTCTGCAGATTGTGTCGGTTGTGAACTTGTGACGGTATATTGTGTTACAGTGGATTGTGATAGTTGTGACAGCAGATTGTGTTAGTTGTGTCAGTATATTGTTGTGTTAGTGGAGACTGCATATTGTCCTAGTTGTGATAGTGGATTGTGTTAGATGTGAAATGTGTTGAAGATGTAATCTAATATATAATCTTTGTGTTTTCCAGGTCAACGTTGGGTAATGCTGATGTAATAGAGTTTATTGATGCACGTATGCTGTTTTGGGGCTGCAATACAAATAGCCCAGAAGGGTTCAGAGGTAAATAATACATTGTACCACCAGATTGTGTTACACGTGCTAGTATGCAATGCAAAGAGACCCAAGGGATTCATAGGTTAAAATGCTATTCAGGTCCTGGGTTCTTTTTGTTGCCATACGTGAGCATTAGCAATACAGTTCTTTCAAACTCAGGGCTAAAGTGATTTAGACTTAATGTAACTCAAGTCTTAAAATGACATTTCATCATTTCAATGAACGGTGACAGTCCTAACATTGCACATTGAGTGAATCTGTGAAAGTTTTCACACTTGTTGAAGTAGCAAAACTGTTTTAATTTTCAATGACAGTCAATGTTCACTTGATAGCTCTCCCTCACTATGCAAAGAAAATAAAATGACAGTCACTGTTTTTATTTCACTGATATATTCCAGTGTCCCAAGCGCTGAGAGAGAACACATACCCCTTTTTAGCTTTAATAGTATTACGTCAAAATAGAATGACAGTGGTGGCAAGGATAGAGGGACCAATAGGTGAGTTACATAGTGGTGTAATGAGTTCATTATATGGATATATAAAGATAATTTATGTGATGAAAAAATGTCCATTGTATATGTGGATAATAAAATATTAAGAATATTGTTAATTGAAGGCACATTATCTATTTATTATATTTATTTATTATATATATTATGTTAAAATGCTGTGATATAATTCGGTTGAAGAAAATCACTGGCAGTGGGTGAAATTAGAGTGAATTGATATTAAAAAATGATGTTTATTCTCTTCATATATTATCTCTTTTCTCTGTCTTAACCCCCCCCCCCTTTGCAGGTCTTGATGATTTGATAAAATATTACATATCTGTTACAGGTCCTGTTGAGTTAATAGAAAGGTTAACTCGGGTTATGGAGGATAACGAGGCCTCACTAATTGCAGTAAGAGCTGACAGGTAAATATCCATTACTTTAAGGCTGAGGGCTTGTTTAGTATTACTATTATTATTATTGTCTTTTTGAGTGTTTGTCATATATTTTATATTTCTTGTCATTTACTGTGTTTGATTGTTGCATTTTAATTTTGATTGATATAAATTTCATATTTATTGTTATTTGTTTCATTTCAACAATTACACAGTTTGCCTTTCTTTAATATTGCCTGCTTTTATTTCAGGGAGGAGCGTCATTTTAATCGTTCACTACGAGAACAGCAGGATGAAGCATATCTTGAATCTCTGAAAGCGGACCAAGAAAAGGTAGTGTAATTTTGTAAGGTGAACATTGAATGTTAGATGTAATGACAATATTGTAATATTTAATGTTATTTCATTGTATTTTACAAAGATGCTGTGAATTTGGAGTTTATTTGATATTTTTTATCATTTTTTTTATGGAAGAATGATTATTTTCCTTGGTAAAGAGTAACATGTTAGGACAACTCACCTTATTTAAGAATTATTTTAAAAGTTTGTCTTATGTAATTTATTGTTGAACATTTAGTGTTGATCATCATTTAGGAAAAGAAAAAGAGAGAAGAAATGGAAAAACAAAAGCAAGAGTTAGAAGAAGCTAAAAGAAGAGAAATGGAAATTGTTAAAAAACAAGAAGTAAGTAACTTTTCCATATAAAACTTCTTCTTTTCACCACTCAATACTATATTTTTGTCACAAGTAATAGTTTGAATAATTACAAAACATGCAATAAGGATTTCACACAGAAGCGTATTATTGATTCATGATTAAAAATAAAGAATTTAAAACATGTAATTGAAGGTGAAAAAAATTAATATCCCATGTAGTACTTTTTCTGTAGTAGTAGTAGTGAAAATAGTAATAATTGGAATTTTTATCCTTCTGTATAATAAGTCCCTATTGTGGAAATGAAAGGTTTTGTAAGTTGCATAGAATTGTATAAGAAGTATATCATGTAGGTTTAAGATAATATAATAAGGAAACGCTTACCCCTTTTCAAAACATTTCTCTCGCTCTCATTTCTGTAGGAAATCATGAGTATCGTGTAAGATGTACATCAGGAGCTTTTGAAGTAATATAATAAGGAAAGGCATACCCCCTTTCAGAACACTCTCATTTTCATTTCTGCAGGAAATCATGAGGAGAAAGGAGGAGTTGAGGACGTCCATACCAGAGGAACCTGCTGTCGATGATCCTGATGCAATCAAAGTGTTAGTGAAACTGCCTGATGGGACAAGAATAGAGAGAAGATTTTGTGGTTCCTGGTCTGCTAAGGTAAAAGTGAAGGCGGATATTTAATAGAAAAGATTATTGGGTCTCACTGCCTCTTGGTATGTGAAAGTAATTTTATGGTATCAGATATTGAAAGTTGAAAATATGTTGAAAACAAGACATTTGTGTAGTTTCAGTTTCTTTTGTATTGAAAACGTGACATTTGTGCAGTTGCAATTTTTTTCTCAAAACAGTCTATATAATTACAGAGCGCATTTCTGTTATGAAAAGTGACCCCTAGGGAGCTTATACTTACTATACATTAAGTTAGTACAAGGTGGAAGGTTTAAATGTAGATATCCTATGTGACAAAATTCATCTTCAGAAAGGAATTGTTTGGTTTTGAAAAAGTTTTACTTATATATAATTCACAATTTCTCTTTTACAGCATCTCTACAACTTTGTCTTCTGCCATGAAATGACACCAGATGACTTCTCCATTGTAACAAACTTTCCTCGTAAAACGTTGCCATGCCAACCAGTTGATGGACAGCCAGACCCACCCTCTTTTATAGAATTAAAGTTTGGAAAGTCAGAACTTGTCTTTGTTCACGACCATGAAGCTTGAAATCAAGGAGTCTGCTTTAAAGAATGACCTTGACATTGGTAGATATATTGGTGGATAGGCCTTGACATTGGTAAATAGGCCTTAACATTGATGGAAAGGCTATGGCATAGTTGTAAAGACCTTGACATTGGTGAATAAACCTTGTCATGGATTAAAAGATTGTGGCATGGAGATGGCCTTGACCTATTGAGATGTGACCTTGACCTTGAGTTGGGACTCTTAATATGAAGGGCTTGAAAAAGAGGCAAAGGAGAAAAGAAATGTGAATTTAACTTTGAATTAAATATTGAAAAGTCATTCTAATAGTTTAAAAATTCATGAAGTGTTATGCAATCAATGCTGTGTGCCAAGAGGCAGTGATATAAATTGGAAGATTTTGACAATGAAAGATTGTTGAATCCAGGCAGTTTTTTATCTGCACTATTTTAATTCATTTCATATGGAATAATTTTGTTAAATATTGATGATGAGTGTTTCAAATGGAAATCATCTGAGGTAACCTAAAATGAGGATCTCAGCAGTGCATGATGTCAGATACGAGAGTAGAAAAGGGGGGAGAATCTGTTTAAAGTAGAGTTAACTTTAAGTGATAAGAGTGCTTGGCATGTTGTCTTAACCTGTGCAAAATATGATTAATTTAGACCATAGTGCAATAGATTTGGACAGGTTTTAAAAAAATTTACCAGAAAAATATCCGTGGATAATTCATATGGGCTTTTATTCATTGCAGCACTTCACCCACTACTCTGTCATTATTTCTGATACTCAAAATCCCACTAAATCTTTGGGCTCTCTCAGATGATTCCCATTCAATAACTTGTGTATTTTCTCTTTTATGGTCAAGTTATGAGGTGGTGCTCACATTTGCACTTGGTAGTTCATGTTTTGTCAGATATTTTCACATAACACCCCTGCCGTTGTTAATATTGAATCCAAAAGGGGTGCTTATCAAGTACTTGTCGTAAATTTAAGATTTTTTCACTTCATATGTGTAATGTCCCCCTCCCTTTTAGAATTTACAACCGATGTCAAATTTATCAGGCTTCTGGTTCCTTTGAAGGATTTTGAAATACTCAGAAGAGCTCAAAGTGAGAGGATCTTGATGAGCTGTAATATTCACCAGCATTTTATACTTATTTATAACATTCAAGCTGTTGTGCTTGTAAAATTTAAACTGAAAATTGTGATCGATTATAGAGGGTGGGATTAGTAACAACTTTAGCTAGAAGAGACAAAATTGAAAATGGCTTATAACTTATAAGCAAAATGATACATCATGTTTTGAATAAATAAAAGTGTTGATGTGGAATGAGGATAATGCACCAAAATGCTTAATTTGGATAACAAGGTAATTCTCACCTGCTGGCCACTTATTTTGACAATTAATTCCTCCAAGAGATTTCTGTCACATGCAAAGTGTCAGTTTGTAATAAATTGTAGATAGGACAGTCCTTCTATGGAGACATCAAATAAAAGTTTTTTTTTTTTTTTTAATTTTAAGTGAAGACTTAACATTGTGCCCATCACCTCATTACAGTTATTGCTAAGTCGACAATAAAAGCAACATGGTGAAACCAGCTGTTTGTTTTATCCATTACCAATCTTTGTCCAGTCATATGCTACACAAAACTCAATTGGGAGGGGGAGGTCCCTAAATTAAAGATCTTGTTGTATTTAAAATGAAATGCACATATGAAAATAAGCATGTATTTTATTTTTTCTTAAGTTAATGCACAAAGATGTGATATCTGATTTCCTTGCACATGGCGCTGCCACGCTGTCTTAAAAATTGATGGTCTTAAAAAAATTAAACCAGTTTTAAATTGCACAGGTTTTAAAACAGAGTGACTTTGTTTCAATAATGAGAACTCATTTTCCTTTAAAAATCCAATTAAATAATAATCATAATTTCAAAACAATTATGTAACTGTATTAAAAAAAAAAAAACATTATCATGATATTGATAAACGTTCATGTAAAAAATTAATATGTATTAAGCTTAATACTGAATATGATTAAAATAACAACTATCACAACTATTTTCAACTAAAAATCACTAAAAGATAAACCTACGGTAACTGTTACACAAATCTAGAAAAAAAATAAATCACAACAGTTCAATTAATAATTAATAAAAGAATACTGTCATGTCTTAAAAGTTAAAACAATAAGGGGTTTGATCTGTGTAGATATAATTTTTCAATTGGCCTTTTTGAACCATTTTGCCACAAAAGTAAGTTTTTCCTTTTTTCCTATTTTATCCCTTTTTAATCTTCCTTTTTCTCAGATAAACCTCTTAGAACTTTCTTCCTTTGCCCTATCATGTGGAAGTACAGCATTGGAAAAACTGAAAAAAAAGTGAAATTTCATAAATTAGTGTGCTTTTAAAAAATGGCTGAAGAGAGGGGTGCTAACATTGACAGCGACCAAAAATTTCAGCAATTTATTTTATTGTTTGTAACTCATAATGACAAAAGGAAATCACTAAATATAACTTAAACAATCAAGATAGAACAGCTATCAAAACTTGATGCCTGTATTTATCTACTTACTGATTTTTTTACAAGGGTTAAAGCAAGATAAATCTTAAATTTATATTGTTCATGGTCTTCAAATTCACTTTCAGGCATACAGATATACCCACATGGATTTAACTATTAAGCATGATTAAAAAATACAATAAAAAAGCCATCAAGCTCAAATTATAAAACAAAAGAATTTCAACTGAAAGCATGCAGATATACTCACGTGGTATATAACTAAGCATGAGGATAATCACAACAGTATAGTAGTCAAAACTCATGTTCATCCTATTTGGCAGTGGATAGGTATAGATTGCAGTCTTCTTTATATAAGGTAATGCTGAAAACTGTGTGAATAGTTCTCCCTGCAAGGTCAAAAGGTCGTCTCAGATGTCATGTCAAAGGTCAGGTCAGAGGTCATCTGGTAAAGTTCAGTTCCACAAACAAAATTTAATATTGACCTATGAATTCTCTTGTATAAATGGTATAAATGGATTTTGAAAATTTACCAGCTTAAAAATATTAAAATAGCAAACAAAAATGTTTATAATTAAACTTTTTCTCAATTCTTCAGTAATTAAGTATTTTGTACTCACTGAAACTCCTATAGGATACAGCACTATGAAGAATGTGTATCTAAAAAGAAGAATTACAGAAAAAAATCTTTTTAAACAATTTCAGCAAAAACAACATAACCATTATTCCACTCAAGGGGCTAGCTATATAAATAAAACAAAGCCTTACAGTCTGCAAATATAGTACCATGACTAGGGTGTACCACAGAAAACTATCTTTAGCATTTGAAAGTATTGTAAGATTTTATATTGATAAAAAATCTCTTTGACTGAAACAAATTACATAAACAAATAAATTTATCACAAAAATTAAAGAAAATAATAAAAATATGCAATAAAATAAATAATTTATGGAAGTTACGTAAAACAATGTCACTCACCTACACCATATGAGAAAATATGGTACCGAGTTCAATAAATTCAGAGCGTAAAATGAATATCTGATAATTTCTGTTAAAGTCCAGGGTAGAAGAAAGCAGGCTACAAACCAACCGTCTTGAACCTGAAAAAGAGAGGTGGGGAAAGTGATATGCGACATCAAGAAATCTTGCCCCTAACTAAACAAGGATAACATTTGGATTTTCTCATTTTTCTCAATGTTAATGTAAGGGATTCCAATTAGGTTAAATTTAAGTTAAACATAAAAAAATATGACAGCACCTATTTGTCGACAACAGACAACACTTACATGTAGATAAAACAAACTACATCATTACACATTCATAGCTAGCAACACTATGTACTCATTATGCACAAAATGTGTTAGGTGTGACAGTTTTATCACAACCAACACAATTACAAATCTTTAAAATTACATATTAGCCGGCCCAGATAGATTGCAATACCCAAAAGCATCAACATGCTTTGCACAAAATGTGTTAGATTTGACAGGCAATACAACTATACATCTCAATTATTTACACGAACAACAAAAGTGATATAATATTCATCACTGACAACTTTGTGTTAGAAGTAACAGTTAACACAACCACATATTTTCACCATTACACAACCAACAAAAATAACCTCGTTTGCAAAGAATATGTTAGGTGAGACAAGGCCATCACAACCAACACAATCGAACATCTCCTTTACCTCTGGTATACTCCATACCACGCCCCAGGTGAGGAAGACTCGGGAAAAGATCTGAACTGCCGTCAGAAACCAGTTTGACTTCACCAATCCCAGCACACAGTGCAACACCTATAATCAGAACCAAGAGTTTTCCCAGCAAACCGTCCAGGCATCATTTGGATGGCCACACACATACAAACACAATTATCCAAAATACACATACAAACATTCCAACGTTATCATTATCATTTATTATTTACATCAAGGTATGCCAGAATCACCATCCATTATCATTATTATTACTAGTTATTATTATTATTATTATTAGTTATTATTATTATTATTATTATTATTATTATTATTATTATTATTATTATTATTACTATTTTTGGAGTTATTTTTATTATTATTATTATGACATGCATTTACCTCAAGGTATGCTAATGTCTGGAAGACCTCCAGCAGTAGCTGTATATAGGAGTGTCTGTACAGGCCCACCCAGGACTTGGTAATGAGGTAATGTTGTAATGATAGGAACAGTATACAACTCCATCTGAAATTATATAATACTAGAAAAGCACTTCAAGAGAGCATACCATACAATTTTTTATTATTATTGATTGATTGATTATTGATCCGGATCACCACCAAAAACTAGTCATCTCTTCCATGGCCCACTTCTGACAGTTCCAGAAAATTTCGCCAAAATCGGTCCATAACTTTTTGAGTTATATTGATGACAGACAAACGAAAATATAACCTCCTTGGCGAAGGTAATTATAACATTATAGTGTTGTTCTTGTCAGCTCTGCCAAGGAGGTAGTGTTTTTACCTTCGTTGGTGTGTAAGGGTGCATTAAGAACCAATTGATCCGAGGACCAACTAGTCTGTGGATCAAATATGGCACAATCCACTTGAAAGTTGGCTGAGATTTAATTGCCCTGCCCCTTCTCAGATTGTGTGGGAGGCAGGAATCCATTGTCAAGCATGCAGCATATTTGATACCGGGACTAGTAAGTTGGCGGGTCAACTAGGTCTGAATGCACCCTTAGTTTACAGCTTGTTATAACCAGCCTGTTGGTTATTCAAGTTCTTCTATTTTTTTTTTTTTTTTTACCAATTAGTCAAATGAGACAGGTAGATATAGTTTTCTGCTACATAAGTTTATTTTGGACTAAAACTCTACCACTGTAAAGCTCTCTGAGACTCTCTATCTTTATGTCCCTCCTAAGCATCAGTCACTCTCTCTTCCCTATCTCTTTCATCACTCAATTTGCATTTTAAATAAACTTTATCTGATTTGCAGCCTGCCACGCACACTATGTTAATGGCCTTAATATATTAAAGCTTAAAGGGATAACAACTCTTCGTATGAGATCTATATTTTGCAACAAATACATTGTAAACAACTAACAGAAATATAATATATTCTATTTTACCACAAAAACAGTAGTTAAAGCAATTAATCTAAAATCTGTGCTTCTTTAGATAGCTATTTTCTAATAATCTCTTTAAAAAAAAAAAAAAAACAGGGACCAACTTTGAATATAGAAATGGATTTATTAACCATTGGTAAGTCTGGGAAAATCGTGTTTTCCCCAGGAAAATTCATATTTTGCTAAAATGGACATTTGTTATCTTTTTAATTATAGATACATTTTAAATTAAATGAACAAATATGCACACATTCAAACTATAATAACTACTACCAGTATCAATGGCTCACAACAAGCTTGACTCCAAATGTTATGAATGCATGTTGATCATAATTTCAGGATAGGTCAGACACAGGCCAACTGAGAATCATATTAGATTTTGGGGGTTATACTGTATTTAATGCATGTATTAGAATTGATATACCCATGCAATGTACTAAGCCTTCTGAGTTATTTTCTAGTTTGTATCATATTGTTTCAACAATTTAAGTCAAGGAAGAGCTAAATGTTTGGAAAATTTGTGCACAGTGTATTCTTAAATGCACTGGCTCCCTTCATATCAAATGTGCCCACCAAATTAATATAACACAGTGCTGAGCTTATAATATGGAACCTGCCAGCATCTGTGCTATGGGAACACTTGGGGCGAAGAAAGCCAAGAAATATAGTTCCTCGTTGCACATATTATTCTAAGTGTGGTGTATGAAAAAGAAACAAAATATCAGGATTATCAATAGCCTCAACATACTTCCTTCTTGCGAGTTAAACCCCTTTGAAATAAATAATCAAGGTAATTAGAGACCATTCCCAAACCCTATCATACTAACTTTGGATCAAACTATCTCCACAGGGATTCTTACAATTAACTCGCAATTAACTAAAGTGGTATAGATGTCACGCCTACTGAAGCTGATAGGGGGTAATTAACTATCCATTAGAAGCTTTAGCAGGCGTGCCAGACATCTAAGCCACTTAAGCTGAAAGCAAATTTAGCAAGAGACCCCGTGGAGATGGACGGAACCTGTTAGATTGATCTAGAGATGGGAACCCAGTCTAAGACCCCATTCCCAGAGATTAGATCGATCTACTTTAGATCGACCTAACTCCCTGGGGGTTCACATTAAATAGCTGTCAGCCGAGCAGGCACGAAAGTTAATTACACCCTTACAGCTTGTAGTAGGCAGGACGGACATTTAAGCCGGATTATCTGACAGTAATCTAGTGAGACTCCCCGCGGGGATAGATCGATCTAAAAGCTCTGGGAATACGCCCTAAGACAGCACTGCCAAAGGCAACATTTAACTACCCAATTAGCTGTCATTCGATAATTAAATGGTCCTACTAGAACTATAACATTAAAAATTTTATAATACCACTCTAGTCTTTCATAGAACATAAATCAAGATCAAAATCAGCTGAGTATATTTTTCATAGAATTCATCAATGACATGTGCATTTAATTGTCCCCTGGTCTACCTTGCATCAGTATCACTATGTCAATATCATGTTGACATCCTGAATTCAACTAATGAAGAGACTGATGATGCATACAGCATACCCAATTTATAAATGTAACACATGTATCTTTACACACGCGCGCACGCGCACGCACGCACGCACGCACGCACAGGCACGGCAAGCGAAGTAATGTAAAAAAGATGGTTACCCTATCGTCTGCCCAATATTATAAAGGAGTAAATATGCTTTTGCAAGAGAGCTCTGTTGACTGCGTTGAGCCATAATCCTAACTCCTTCCCACCGGCACTGCACAGTTCAGACAGGCGTGTGTATGAACTTTGTTCCGTGACCTAGTTTCGAATTTCAAAACCTAATTTTATCCGCAAAATATAAACCCTTTATCTCCTAATATTAATGTGTTAAATTTTTTATTTACTTTGAAAAACCATGCAGTAAAACTTAAAAGAACTTTTATTGCGACGTACTTCAGTTGAAAGATGTGAAATAGATAAAAAATATTTAGGTCAAGGTGCCCGTGACGTCATTTGTTGAATCACGTGGTACACTTGGCGACAGAGTGTTGTTGCACGGGTGCTTCTGGCTTGTTGCTATTCAATACTGGAATAATGTGAAATGGCGACCTAGGTTTCCTGTTTGATTTTTTGTTAAAGAAATAGCGCACTAAACAGCAAAAATGAGCCACGTCTATGAAGGGTAAGTAAGGCTTCGTTGTGTTTATTGTTTGCCGGTGCTTAACATGGTTTGAATCTGGAAGGTTTTCTGACTTGACGAATCATTTCAAGAGATGGTCCCGTAGAAAATGTCTCCTAAATAATTCATATTGTGTCTGAAACACGCTATACTATCGTGATTCCTCAATTAGTTAATGCATGCCATTATAAAGGATGCGTTGTCATTGAGCTATTGATGTTTACTAGCTGTTTGGAGCTTTTATAATAATGAAAATTGGGAAGAAAGAATCTGCTTTGGAATTTACATTTGGATTTTAGAGACTATTACTGCTGATTATGCCGATGACTTTATTTTTGATACTATCAGCTTTTGATGGAATACATGTACTTACACATAGGAGACATTATACTCACTACCAGTACATGTATATATGTACAGTACTTGGATGTACTGTAGCTCTTCAAAGAAAACATTAATTAGCCATTAAAACAAATCTAAAAAAGGGACATAATCTGCAGATAAACATGGTACAGATGGATCATAAATTGATTTAATAGTTCATCCAAAGGGAATGTAGTGAGTTCAGCCACTGTCAGTCTGTTTCTCACCAATTATATTATGAAAAAATGTCTGGATTGAAAGAAATACAAGGAAGTCACGATCAAAGATGGTGCCTTGCAAACTTAACAGCAACTTTTCCTTGAGAACTGAATGAAAATGAATAGTTAATGATAGGTATCTAAAGGGAAAAAGAAAAGAAAATGCAGTGCAGTCTGTACAACTAAAGGCACTTTTAAGCCTGAGGCATATCAATTGCCCACTACCATGACAGTAGTACATAAAGAGCTACGTACAGGGTTTGTTAAAAAGTATAATTTTTTTGTAACGCTAAGCTCCTTTTTCGACCTTGATTACCTGAAGGGCTACAATATCATGTAATGGCCTTTTTAAAAGTGCACATGTATGACTACACTGGGACTAATACTAGTACATGTAATTTTAGTAGATATAACAAACATGCAAAATGATAAGACATCTAGGGAATGATAAGACATACTGGGGAATATCAATGATTTTAAAACTGTTTGTTAAGTCTCTGATATCGAAAATCAAACCTCTGACCCAGCAGGTAGGCTCAGTAAGCTTGTCAGTCTACAAAAGTGTGATTAATATAAAACAATCAATATTGGCAGATTAGTTCCTCGCATGCTCAGTGGGGATTAGATTGGAGTTGGAGAAAAAATCAATTTGATTCTGGGCGGTGGAAGGCAGCAGAGTGAAGGCTTTTAATGGTGAAGTTGTGCCACAGTGGGAGAGAGTCACATGATACTCAAATCTTTTGTCTTTAAAATGGAAAAAATCAAACACTACTATAAAGATGTTTTCTTAAAAAAAGAGGAATTCAATTGCATGCAAGTAATCAATAGTTTCAAAATGAAGTTGGGCAAATTAGCGAAGCTGTTATAATACTTTCAGCATTTGTTATTATAAACATAAACAGATAATTAGACCAAAATGTAGTTTGTTGATGTTTTTCACCTTGAAGAAAAAAATAAATAAAGATGGACATTTCTGTATGTTCAGCTCAACAGAATGCTAAATTCTGATTAAATTTGTTTCCTTTTTTTTTTTTTTTTTTTTTTTAAGTCTGAAAATAAGATTTATAAGTGCCATTCAAATTCCTGTGTTGGTTTCCTGTATGGTTTTTGTTGAAAAAACCATGTACTAAATGGCAAAAAAGAGCCACATATGGATTATTGTCTGTTATTTTAAGTCCATTAAAAAGGAAATTGTAAACAACATAATTGATTTCATATGCACAAATTGATATTTTTGGATCAATGAATTTTTCTACCTGTATAATAGAGATATCTCCAATGTGATTAAAAAGGTGATGAATATGGAGACGGATTAACAGGGGCGGATTTAGGCCGTCTTCTGGGTCTTCTGGAAGACGGTCAGATTTTCAAGTTTACATTGGCAGCCATCTAATGTTTTCTGTCGGAAGACGGTCAGAAATGGAAGATGGATCAACAAAGATAATTTGGAAGACTGTCAGAAAATATCTCTGGATCCGCCCCTGGATTAATATATCTACTAACTTGAAAACAAAGGGATAATGGTGAGATTGTGACTAAGTTCAAATATGAAACAGGATAATTTAATAGAATGCTCTCCAGGTTGAATTGTGAAAAAGAAAAATGCAAAAAGAGAAAATGATTGAAAGAGATATTATTATTATTATTATTATTATTATTATTATTATTCATAGGTGAAAAATATTTTGATAATTTGCACTCAGTTCAGTATTTAATACTTTATAAGCTGTATCACAATTGCTGTTTGAAGCACTGGAAACAGACAGACAGGAAAAAACTTTATAACTAATATTTATCATAATTTATGCAGTATTATTATAATCAGTGCTAATATATTATAATTTATTCTTGCAGTCCCCTGGCTACTTACAATAGCCTGATGGACCGCCACTTGGCCGGGTACTTCAGCCAGACCAAGAAGAGAAAACACCTCCGGAAAGCTGGACTGGTAGAGTTTCTTCCTTTCCTTCTTTCTTTCTTTCTTTCCTTCTTATTTTTTCATTTTCTTTCTTTGAATACAACCCTTTTTGTCAGGGCTGAAACAAACTATCAAAATTATTGAAAAATGAAATATCTTTCATTTTAATTGGGTAAAATGGATATTTTCATGTAGGTCACCTGGGGAACAGAACTGACATATTTTTAACATTCAGTTTGTGCAGTTCCCTCTGTACCAGTATAACTGCTTTGTTTAGAGAATCTGTTATTTTTAGTTTTGCTAAATTTCATATCACTTTTTTTGCTTACATATTATATAATACAAATTGAGTAATTTCTTTTCTGCACAATAATTTTAGATCTCTAAAAGAGGAGAGGTGATTTCTGAGGCAACATTCCGCCTTAACATGGCTCGCAAAGAGCACAAAAAGCACGTGAAGAATCTTTTGGCGCAGGCAATTGTGCACAAAACTCTAGACATGGAGCGAACACGACAGGTGTCCATACGCAAAAAATTAGAGGAAATTGCAAAGATTGAACTTGTCAGGAGAGTGAGAGTAAGTGGCAGGGTATATTTTATAATGACAGTGATGATGATGATGATAATAGTTTTTACTGGCAAGATGATAAATGTTTTTTGATATGCTAAGTAATTTTTTATGTGTACATGTATTGATCCGTAAATATGTGGGACCAGAATTCTGAAACAGAGCACACACACACACAAATTAAAAATAAATAAAATAGATAAAATATTATACTATTGCAATACATATTGTAGCAATTCATTCTTTTCATTACATTGTTTTTATGTACCAATACCATTCAGACATATATATATATATATATATATATATATATATATATATATATATATATATATATATTGGCTTACTAACAGAAACAGGAGTTACGTGTACTCACCAGTTTTGCATTCCAGGAAGAAAGAATGAGGTTTTCAGACGCTGAGATTATGCAGTACCTCTTGTCTGTTCCCCTCCCAAAACCTCCCCCCATGGTTGAAAGTCGTTGGACGCTTACAGACGCTGTAACTAACTCGTTGTTGTTGTTTTCTGGCACCTCCCATTTTGTACTAGTTGCTTCTAAACTTTAGACCAAGACGGAACATTTTTGTCTACTTCGGGGTTAGAATTGTGAAAATTACTCACAAATTTCAAATGCTTCAGTTTCATTCTAATTTTTAAAATGAACTTCTGAATCTTGCTTTATGGGAAGTACTTATTACAAAACAATATTTTGGGAAATTTGGTAAATTGGTTGTGTTTGAAATCAGTGAGTAGTTGCCATACTGTTTTTTTTTTTTTTTTTAACTTCTGAGCAGGAATGATCAAATGTTATTTATGCATGTTCAAAAGTTAAATTTTAAGGCACACTTTTGTTATAATCTTATTTCATATAGCTGTTAGTACATGATTTTTAGTTACTTGCAAATAGTTATTTTACATGGCACGGCAACATTTTATTCAATAGGTTACCTTAATTTATATCTTATTTTAAATTACAGGCACATGGTTTACATTTGCACCGTTTTCCTTTTATATTCCAGCATGTTGATGGTGAAAGGTTAATGAATTGTAGATTATTTATTTGCAGAAGTCTGAAACAGAGCTCACATGGAATTTTGAAAGTTCACTTATGTACAAGGCTATATTGCTTTCATAGCTTTATAGCTAAATATGCATGTCATTATTTTTAATTATGTGGTTTATTGCATGGGTTAATGATATCATTAATGCAATTGTTTCTGAAAGGCCAGTTATACTATTAGAAATTCTTGAGATGAAATAAAAAATACTTGAAATGCAAATTATGATATATGTTCAGAAAGTCCTTTATCTAACTTATAATGAACATTAATTTTTGGTGATTTAACTATTCACTTGAACCTATTATTAATAACATGTAAATCGGCCACTTAGTTTCATTTCCCTTGAACTCTGTAGGCTGAGAAGGCTAGAAAGGGAGATGAGGACATCCTCCCCTACCTGTCTCCCAGAGGGAAGGCGACAACACGACCACGATCTGCTGCCATGGAGCGCCAGCAGGCGATGAGCAGATCACGGGCCAGACCTACCAGTGCGCCATCTGCTGACAGAAAAGGAAGGTCTCGTAGACAGGAGGAAGAAGAAGAGGATGATGGCTGGGAATATGATGAACAGGTATGAGGAGACTGATGATCATTAGTATGTTGAACAGGACCATGTAAAAATTGGTGATTATTTTTACTAATCCCCCCCCACCCCCTCAAAAGAAAAAAGTTAATAAATAGGTAAATAAAAATCATACCAGGGCTCGTTGAAATAAAAAAACTTGCTTATTTAATGCAGAAAAAATATTATTGAATAAAAATTTAACTCCTGTTTATTCCATAGTCAGTAAATAATTATAAAATACTTTCAGGATAAAAAGTTACGACCAATCTACATTGATGAAAATGGCGTCCCTGTTCATCCACGAGAATTTGCACCAGAGGGTCAAAGTTCACCGTCCAGCTCGGGACACCGTTCGCCCTACCCCAAGGAGGAGATTGATACCAAGCACCTGTATGCTGTAAGTCCTCGACTGGTTTTCTTGTGCTTTGTCAATAAATCTGTAATTTATAAGGCCATTCTGTGGTACATGATGATCACTATTAGGGTGTGAGTATTTGGAAGGCTTGATTCACAATAATTAAAGGTTTTATTATAGAAAAGAAAAGATAAAAAGGAGATAATTGTTTTGATAAGCTTTTTTTAGCATAAATGAAATTTATTTGCAAAAAAAAAAAGGGGGGGGGGAATTAATGTAACTTTGGAGAACTGTTTTTGATCAGTTTATAGAGCAGGTCATGTTTCATTTATATCATATTGTAATCTTGGATTTTATATCTTAAAATGGAGTCAATTGAAATGGTAATTGATTCTTGATAGTGCCATTTTTAATATATTAGTAAGCACTGTATGATAAGTTGTCAAAAAACAAAAAATATACTGAGTATATAATTTGATAAAATCAATCCAATCCTGATTTCAGCTGGACAACGTTGCCTTGAGAGAGTACACAATGAATAATGAGGTTCTAGACCAGGGCAGAGGTGCACCATCCCCATACGTCATCCCCTTGGTAGGGCTGGCCACACCTTCTCCGCCTGCCACCAGGAGGTCTCCCAGGACACAAGACAAGAGCAAGGCAAAGTCTCGCAAGTTTCGTTACATTGCGACTGATCCTTTGGGAAGACCACTGCACCCCAAGTCAAACAAGGTATGTTTTTGGCAGTGACATTATTTATTTAGTTAGTGCTTCAAGAAATGTTTTTTGAAGTCAGTACTGCTTTGAACCAGAAAGTAGTTCTCCTTGAACACATTTATAAACTTCATCCCAGGGCTCACTCATCCCAATTTCATAAAAATATTAGATATATTTTTTACAATCCTCATCTTGGGACAATTAAATTCTTTACTCTGTCCCATCCCATAATATTAAACACATTTTTACAGTCCTCATACCAGGGCTTTCTATTATAACTTAAGTCTATCCCATAATATTTGACATTCATTTTTATAATTTTCCCCATTCCAGGGCTCCCTGATGCTCCATCGCCTGGAGCCCGCCATGATGCATCAGGCGAGGGTCCAGTCCATGTGTGATGTCACCATGCTGTATATTGGAGGCAACCTGAAGCTGGAGGCGGAGGGCAACGACCCCATGCACGAGATAATTGTAGAGCAGCAGCACTGCGGTGGAAACACATTGAATGTGTTCAAGCAGAGGATCCTTCCTGGGAGTGAGTAGTTTGAAACAGTTTGAAATATTTGGGAAAATTTTGTTGTCTAACAGAAAGGAAAAAATTAAAACCATGGCAAAGAGAAAAGTAGAAGAAAAAAGAAAGAAAAATCAGAGATGACAGTTTATTTAAATTTTCCAACCTATTGAAATTAATGCATATTTCAGAAGTGACTGTATACATATTATTCTCTTTTTTTCGGTGTCTGACACATAAAGAAAATAAAAACAATGTGGAATTTCAATTATGTAAATTATTTTTACAAAATTTAAAATTCTGACTTAGTATTCATAAGCACTCTGTATTAAAAAAGAACCAAGGCATTTTTGAATTAATATAAAAATGAGCTTCTTTATAATATAGTGCTCATACTCCTACCATACCATAACAGACATAACGTTTCAATTTCTTCCCATCTACAGCAAGGTTCACCTTCACCTCAAGACGTCACAGAGGCTATCCCTTCAGCCTGACCTTCTATATAAATGGGGTCAAGGACATTCGTCTCAGTGTCTGCTGTGAGTATAAGCACAAGCCAGGCTACAGGCTAGGGGGAGCCACTGGGCACTTTGGTTTTGTGAAAACGACAGGAGCGGCACCGTGCTACAGGTGAGGCATAATTTTTATAGGTTCTCCCGAGCATGATATATTATGAAATTTTATATTGTTCCACAAACTAAAAATAATTTGTTTGTCACTGATTGATAAGTTTTCAATTTTGATCAATTTCAAAATTTGATCAGGTTCAAGTTGATATGTAATGGATGACCCATTTCTTAAAATTTTTTTTAGAACTAACTTTCATATCACTTGTATACTCCATTATAAACCTCAAAAATTGTACAGTAACATGTCCCATGATTATCTGTAAGTACTTGGTTTTTGTCACCAGGTGTCAGGTAGAGAAAGGGTTGCTCATTGACTCCAGTCCCCCGCGCCCTGAAAAGAAACGTCCCTCAGAAGCCCAGCAGAAGAAGAAGAATAAAAAGAAGGAAGAGAAAGACAGTGAGTGAAATTGTTGCTGTCTTTTCTATCTGAATGTGTTATATAAGTCAAAAAAATAAATAAAAGTTGCGAAAGCATACAGTTGCCCAGTACACTTTTCTCTAAAAATTTGAATAAAACTGTTGTAATTATATGTGGAAAAATAATAACCTTTGTTTTCAGTTGCTTAAATTTTTTTTCTGAAAAATTCCAAATGTCAAATTGAGTTCAATTTTAAAATGTTTATTGAAAAAATATAATGACTGAGAAGAGAGGGTCGTTAATTATGTTTACTGTGTTTTTTTCCAGAAGAGCACAAAGAGGAAGACACACAATCTGACAAAGTTTTTGTGACTGAAGGCTCAGATGAGGAAAAACACAAAAAAGAAGACGATGGTATGTTCATATTTCATATCCATATTGTCATGAGAAGTTTAATATTTGGATTTTTGAATATAATATGTACTGGTTTGCGTAGGGTTGAAGCCCTAGGAGTACCCATCAAACCATGTGTTTAGTCCTTACAAACTTCTTAGTAGCTAGGTTTGATTTCGTATTGGAATAGGGATGTCACAATGACACTGGGAGCATGCTGATTGATAGATAAACACCCACCCCCACCCCCACTCACCCCCCAAACCTGACCCACCCCCTCCTGAGCTGACTGGTCTCACCTTTGACAGTTTTCACATATGTACTTTGCATGCTAGTTATTCACACCATTTGAATTACTAATTGCTCAAGATTTTAGCCTATTTCTAACACACTTATGTAAAACTTTTAACAGATAATTTGTGTATTGCACTTTTATAATTGACTTTGTTAATCTGGACGTAATTCTAAAGAAAATTTTCAGCTTTAATTAGATTAACCGCCAAAAGATGCATAGTGATTATTCACAACTTAAAATTTGTTTCCCCTTTTGTTTTTCAAATTAATTGTATTAACTTTTAAAAAAAAGTTTATACCTTCCAAACATCCTTAAAAAACATTAGAGTCAATCTAATTTTTCAACGATTCTAACAAAGTTGTGTTCTGCTCGATAAAATAAATGTATTTGAATCCAGTGAATAACTAACCTTAACATTTTTGTCACAAAGTATTTTTTTACATACAGTAGCAATTAGTGTATTTAATAGTAGAATGCATGAAAAGTAGATTGCATGATTTTTCTATTTAATTGCTTGCACTGTTTTGCACCCTCTCATACTGTATCACACAGACGATAAACATGACGAGGGGGGCGAGGAAGGGCACCCCCAGGGAGCAGAGGATGGAGAGAATGAAGAAGAAAAAGAGGAAGAAAAGAAGACAGTGTCTGACTCTCATCATAAAGATGACGACGAAGATAGTCGTCGTGGAGATTTTGATGGTGATTACATCATGGCTGCTAAGTTTCCTTCCATCCCCTTAGACTTGCGTACCTTTGGGTTTCTCCCACATTTATATTTGATAGCAGTCTGTGCATTCTCTGAGCTAGCATCTTATTGCTGTTGTGTGTTCTTCACCTTATAATTTTTTTTCTGTCACCCCTTTAGTCTTATACATTACAGAGGTGTTCCTTTCTGGTCCATATCCCTCTTTATCCGCTTATGTCCTTAAAACCAGTAAAGTTCCTCTTTATTCATGGTTTAAGTCACATTTCCATTCTTGATGGGCTGACCTAACTCAATACAACCCATCTCAGTAGTGTTGTGTATATTGAAATAAGCTCATGACAGGAAACCACTCTGATCCCTGCTTTGTCCCACAGTGTGGGTGATTGCAGGTGGAACAACTGAGAGATTAGATTGGTTTCCAATGGTGAACTAATCATAACAAGGGCACCTGCTGAGGTGCAATGTTCTGTTGAGGAGAAAATTGACCCAACATGACTGGAAAGGTGACTTTTATTGACCTTATTTTTAAATTATAATTTTTTTTCCTAATAAATGATTTTTGTCTGTATTTGCCATGGATGAATTCCCATGTTTCTTTAATTACATATTTCTTAGCCACCTCAAGCAAAAAATTATTTAATCTATCGTTTTAGAGCTTATTGCATACTGTGTCCTATTGTAACAGCCAGTTTCTTTCAGTGCTATGAATGCTTTTGGTGTTAATGGTGTCCCTTTTGGTGTCTTTGGTGACCTTTTTGGTGTCTTTGGTGGTGTCTTTGGTGACCTTATTGGTGTCTTTGGTGACCCTTTTGATTTCTGAAACTTCTCAGAATGTCATGAAAAAATTGAAGTTTGGAAACTAAATGAAAAGGAAAAATTTCCAGTAAGAGTAAAAGGTAGATGTAAAACAATTGCACTAAGAGTTGAAGATAGATCAACCTTTCAGTACGAGAGCAAGATGTAAACACTTGGATTTAAGTCATTTGAAATTTCAGGCTGGTAAAAATCACAGTTGTTTGCTGGTGAGAGGGGGGAGGGCATTAATTTGATATTGCATCTTTCATTATGTTCTGAAAATTTGTTAAATGCTTTGTCTTTTCTTGCAGAATATGAAGATGATGATTTTGAAGAAGAAGAAAAACAGAAAGACGAAGGTTAGTATTTCTGCTGAATTTGCCATAAAATTCTTTTTCAAGGAAAAAAATAAATAACAACAAAAAATTACTAGAGTTTAACTTTATTGGGGGAATTTTTTAATTTTACTTTCTGATCAATATACCTGTATACAATGAAGATGTTTTCATTGTTTTTGAAAATTGAAATGTTGTTGACAAGGGAAACATTCTTATAGATTCCTGGAATTAGAGTATAATGTAGAGAAAATTGAACAAAAAACTCTTGTGTATTACAGATAAATATGACGAAGATTTTGAGGATGAGAAAGAAGAAAAGGAAGATAAATCACAGCCTGAGGTCAAAGGTTATGATGATGACTTCGAGGAAGATGAAAGAACAGCCAAGATGGTGTCCCAGGGTTCCATTGAAGTACCAGTCCAGGACACGGATGATGGTGAGACTCTGAGAGACAGACGGACAGACAGACAGACAGACAGACAGAATTAGAATAAAATGTGGAATGAAATGTTTAAGCAAAGTGACAAACATTGAAATTATATAATACATGACATAATGTTTGTTTTTTTTTTACAAATTTATATATCCTTTTACTCTCATAATAAAATGTTGAAAGAATCAAAATATGACATGACAAACACCTTTCAGAAGTAACAGATTTTAAGGAATTTTATTTGTCATTCCAGAAAGCGTCAGAACTTCACGATCATCCAAATACGACCAGGAGGAAGAAGAGCGTGAGAAAAAGAGACCAGATCCCATAGCTGAGGAGAAGTCAAGAGAATCTGAAGATGCAGAGACGATCAAGTCCGAGGGCAGAGGCACAGAGGGAACAACTGGGAAAGCAGATGACAGCGAGGATGCACACTCTGTGAGGTCCAGCGCCTCCTCGACCCACTCAAAGAAATCTGATCAGTCAGTAAAATCTGAGAAAAGTGACCGATCTGTGAAATCAGAGAAAAGTGATCGTTCTGTGAAATCAGAGAAAAGTGATCGTTCGGTGAAATCTGAGAAGAGTGACCGATCTGTTAAATCAGAGAAAAGTGATCGTTCTGTGAAGTCTGAAAAGACTGACCGCTCTGTGAAATCAGAGAAAAGTGACCATTCTGTGAAGTCTGAAAAGACTGACCGCTCAGTGAAATCTGAAAAAAGTGACAGGTCAGCAAAATCAGCCAAGAGCGATCGTTCAGCAAAGTCCGACAGAAGTGACAGAACAGTGACCTCACAAAAAAGTGATCGATCGGTGAAATCGGACAAGAGCGATGCTACTATCAAATCTGAAAGAAGTGATAGATCAGTCAAATCTGACAGAAGTGACCATTCCAAAAAATCTGATAGGTCAAACAAGTCGGACCGATCAGATAGGTCAAAGAAATCTGATAAATCAGATGTTTCAAAGAAATCAGAGAGATCACAAAGGAGCATCAAAGAAGAAGAAAAACCAGTCACCCATGCAGCAGAAGAAGCAGACGACACTGCAAGTGTCAGATCTGAAGGAAAGGCCGAGTCCATAGTTTCTGTCAAATCAGAAGGAAAAGCAGAGTCTGTAAGATCAGAAGGAAAAGCCGAGTCAGTGAAATCAGAGAAAGCCGAGTCAGTGAGATCAGAAGAAAAGGCCGAATCTGTCAGATCTGAAACCAAAGCAGAATCAGTCAGGTCAGAAGATAAAGCAGACTCTGTGAAATCAGAAGAGATGGGAAAGACACCAAAAACGGAGGAGATAGAAGATGACAGAGAAACAGTGAAAAGTGACACAAAATCTGACAATAAAGGAGAGAAGAAAGAAGAAGAAGAAGACAGGAGGAGCAGTGATGAGGAGAAAGTAGCCAAGGCCATGGAAAGTGTGCTGAAGTCAGATGCCTCTGATAAAGGTTTGTTTTTATTGAATATCGTAATGACTGGATCTTTTCAATGGGAAATATTATCATTTTTTCAAATACATAATTTTGCAATAAGTAATATTTATATATTTATGTAGCATTTGTGGTGTTTTTATTAATTATAAATAGAAAAGAACTATAGGGTAGCCTGCTATTTAATGTTTTTGTTCTAATTTTAAGAATTAATGATTAAGGAATATACAGTATCTGTTAAGTCCACAATTTCCCCATTGAAAATGTTGAGTTATTACAGTAACCCTATGAATGTCTTATATATGTTCATTCATACTTTTATGGGGTCTCTTGGAGTATTTTGATTGGCCCATGGAAAAATTTAAAGTCCAAAAAATTCTGTCGTTTGTACATTGAATGCAGATATGCTGATTGTATATATAACTTTAAAAAATTCAATATTTGAATTTGGTTTGAATTGACAAATTTATAGAAAATGTTATTTCCGATGAAACTTATTATTTGATAATATTTTGTCTTTTAGAAGACAAATCAGATTCTGAAGCAACAGAAACTGAGACTGAAACTGAGACTGAAGAAGAGAAGGAGAAAGATACAACTACACCAGAGGAGACGGGCACAGCTGAAGAGACAACAACAGAGGCGGAAACTGCAGGTGAAACGGAGGCTGAGACTGAAGATGAGAAAGGTGATTGAACCGCGGAGATTTCAGGCCCGTAGCCAGCATGGGGTACAGGGTGCTCGAATCAACTGCCCATTTTGCAAAAAAAAAAAAAAAAAAGGGGGGTCTGGTTTTGGTTAAATGTAATCTAGATACATGAAGATTTCATGGTAAAGGGGAACTTTTCAAAAAAAAAAAAGAAAGAATCCACACTTTGACATTGCTAGCTATGGGCCTGGATATAGAAATTATATGCCCAAATTCTTTAATAAAATATTGAGGTAAGACAATAATTCATTTAACATCACTTAGATAAAAATAAAAAATTTTGATTTTTGTTTGATATTGTGACAGTTTTTTTATGATGGGATGTTGTTAAATATCTAAGGAGAAGGTACATGGAAACAGTTAGATGAGTTGATTTACTGATAGTTGAATTTTCATAATTTAAATTTTTAGAAAACGCCAAAAAAGAAACTTTTGAACTGAGCACCACAAAGCTTGGCGACATTGGGGACCAACCACCTCAAGAACGTACAGGACAAATCCGCCCCCTGGTGGAGGGAAAAACAGACATTGACCTCACTAGTGTTGCCATGACAGACGAACAGGTTGGTGACGCCTGCTGTTTTATGGAAAGATTTTTTGGAATTTTGTACTGGGAGATTGTTCTTGCAATTGAAGATTTTATAATGATCTTGAAATAAACTTTGACAGCATCTGTGGTGTTAAAACATGAAATTTGAAAAAAAAAAAGGTCATATTGAGACGTGGAACTTCATATTACTACAGGCTACTATTTTTACAACTTTTACATGAAATTCTCAACAATTGTATTCAGTTGTGTACAAATTGAATTATATTTAAATTAAATAAATAAGATGTGATAAATTTATTTTATTTGTTCACTTCAGGTGAAAGAACTAAGTGGCATCTTGGCGGAAAAATCTGATGCTAAATCCATCAATCTCAGGAATGGAACAATGAATGATGACCAAATGGAAGAATTTGCCGCTGCTTTGAAGCAGACGCCGTCCAAAGTCGAGGTAAGTCATGGGGTTAATACTTATGACAGTGCTGATTGGCTACTTTTAGCAAGTTTTATATAATGAATTTGATTGGTCAAATTACAGAACCTTTGATTTGCCTGTCATTGAATGCACATAACCTTTATTGTTCATAATCATAATTGTATATTGTAGAAAGTATCCTTCTGTACCTTTCTTTTCTTCAAAATTTTCTTATTGTTGTGCTCTTCAGTGTAGATTAATTGTTAATGTTGTATATATGTGATAATTTTCTTCATATATTTATACGTTACCACAGAAACAACTTTTGTTCCTCTACTAGTCTTTTCATTCTCTCATATTGGTCATATTTTTCACACTTGTGTAGGGGGCAGGTAAGGATTTGTTTGTATATCTTCACAATAAAGACAGGCCCATCTTACTTTCTCTCCCCCTCTTGCCTTAGGACCTGTTGTTTGTAGAAATTATTAACATTTTTGTAACTTTGAATTTCAAACAAGCCAAATTCTGTATAGTGAAGTACATGGATACACTACATGCATATGATTGATTAAGTTTTATCAGAATTTTGAAATTATTTTATAAACGGCAGTTCTTAGGCTCCCTAGTACAATCCATACTTTTGTTCTTTATCCTTGGGTTAGAATGTGTCCGTTGCTGATGGCAAGAAACCTTCAACAGTTGAAAAGCAGAACAAAAGTATGGATCTTACCCAAAAAATCACATTGTCAGCCAACATAGTCATTTTAGGTTTTTATATTTGCAATTTTGGTACCCTATCCCCAATTAAGCATGGTAGAGTCTTTGAGTTGAGTCAAGGTTTAGAAAAGAGAGCATGATATTTGTCTAGTATCTAGTTGAACACAACACCCAATAAAAGCATGAACCAATGCTTCATCACAACACATGCTTGGTTAGAAACATAAATGATAATTATAAATAAAAAGTGATAAATATAGATTAAAAGTTAATATAAAAGTTATCAGAAAAAGTTTAAAGTTTCTTGGCCTTGTTAAGTGCTGCGTGGTGTTTTTTCTTTTGTTGACTGGAAATATAGTGAACATATTTTTCCATAATGCATAATGAATTATATGTTTTATAGAAATGAATGAAGCATAAAAACTATTTGTAAAAGGCTTGAAAACTAATACATAAGATTTGTCTATGTTGAATTTATCTTAATGTATTTATCACTATATTTTTGCATTTGTAAGCATAAGTAGTGTAAAACAAAAAAGAATTATGAAAAAAATAATTGAATTTTTAATGAAGGTAACCTTTTAATCAAGAGAGTTAAACCTGACCAATGTAAGCTTCCCTTCTCCATTCTTTTCAAATTAACAATTTCATGTTTTTTAGATACTGATATATTGTTATAATATTTTTATTTCATTTTCAGTTAAAATTGCCAATGCATGTACATTCATCTGACAATATCTGCAACTTAGTGCCATCTTGAAACTTTAAGAAAGCACCCTGAGTTTTGCTGTTCTGATGAAGATTCATTTTCCTGAGACATATGCTCTCTAGTTAAAGGGGTGATTCTTCAGTAGACATAAAACTCGGGGTACAACTGTCATGTCTCTGACACTTTAAGCCCCCCCCCCCATACTTTACTAAAAGTGTGTCGACCTTGTTTTGCGCCCCGAGAGTCCTGCATGCTTTATGTGTGTATAAGTAGTATATCCTCCTTTCCAGCTCCTCAACCTGAACCTGAACAAACTGGGTCCGCGGGGTGTGAGTGTGCTGGTTGAAGCACTCAAGGAGACTCCATCGCTTCAGATATTACTGTAAGAACTAACAACATAGATGTGCTCTTTTTTTCTTCTCTGTGAGTTCTTACCAGCATGTAGAGGTTTTGTGATGGTTTTGTCTTTAAAATGTCATTTGGGCAAAGGCTTACTGAAATGCCTTTTTTTTTCAGTAATTCATTGTCCAGTAACTGACGAAATACTATTTAATAACTAGTATTTATATATTAATTGATAATTAATGTTTATATAATCAATAATTAATATGCTGGTATGAACCATTTATTTATTGTTCTCATAGACTGCTAATTTTGATGATTTGAACCTTGAAAATCAGGGTTATCAGTGAAAAGAAAATGATAATAAAAACTATCAGAATTTTTTTGTAATTGGACCAAGTAAAATTACAAAAAATATTATTTTTTTGCAAATTATAATTATTATAATTTTGTCACTTAATTTGGGGACAAACTGTTTCATTTTCTAATGATTATATAATAAAATTTTGGCATGTTTAAATCTGTGCCAATGGATTAAGTTGTCTCTATTTTAGATAACTTAAAGCATGATAATCCTGTTTTACAAAGGTTTCTGGTGCTCTTTTATTAATTGTGGTAACACCTCTTAAGTATTAAGAGTACTTCTGAAAGCATGCCTAACCTGTTCTTTGTCTTACATTGAAAATTCATAAAGCGGCTGTCTAGATTTTAACACTGTGACAGTTATTTAAATATTAATGTAGAAACAATCTTTGGGTATTAAATTTCATGTGATACTCTACCTTAATATATTATGTTTGCAAACACTATATAAATGGTGGAAAACCCAGGTTTTTTGAGGGGGGGGGGACAAAGGTTTTAAAAAATCCAATTGGCCCTGTCATCCCTTTCCCTGAGGTGATATGTAGAAGAAGCTATATTATTTTTTTTCAATTCTCCAGGCTGAATGATAACCCACTGGGTGATGATGGGGTGGTGGCCCTTGCAGAAGGATTGGCAGCCCCAGAAATAGATGAAGTTGAACAGCAGAAGAAAAGGGAGCAGAAGCAAATCAATAAACTTGCAAAACATATGGTCTCGCATGCCATTGACGATGCACTGCGATCGCCATCTTTAAGTTCTTTGGTCAGCAGGGGGAGCATGGACCACCGTCACGACAGCGCCTCCAGCGCCAGCAGCAGTGTGAGTTTATACAGAGGCGCACAGCTTCACGAACTGGATCTTGGGTCATGTGACATAAAGCTAGATGGCGCCACAGCTGTGTCTCGCTTACTGGCCCAAGACAACAGCATCAAAGTCCTCAATTTAAGTGGCAATCGCTTCATCAGCACTGATGGTTGGAAGAGGATTGGGGAGGCCCTGAAGAAGAACGAGACGCTGAAGACGCTTGCCGTCAACTCTTGCATGATGGGAAATGCAGGCCTGATGGCGTTGTGTGACGGCATCAAAGAGAACAAGTCCCTGCGCACAATCGATCTTGAAGATAACGACATCAGAGATGTGTCGGCTCTCAAGTTGAGGGAGGCCATTAAAGGCAACAAAAATATCCTAGAAGTTATGCTTGGGCCAAACAATGGCATCAGTAAAAGTATTGTCTCAGATATCAAAGATATTTTGAAAGAGAGGCAGTAAGGGAGGACTGGGAGTTATTAGTTTGGCGTCACATTTCTTGGTCACATTAATTGCTTAGAGTCATTGGTCAAATACTGCTATTAACAATGGTATTGTGATAGAACTTACTTGCAGCAAAATCAGTGATATATTGTATTTTGTATGAGAGCATATGTTGGCATTGACAATGGGGAGGGGAGTTAGAATTCAGTTTTTTATCCACATTTTGGACTAGTACGTAGGATTTCTATGTTATGGTGTTATACTGGTCTATGGTAAAAACTGGAAAATTTTGTCAGTCTTGAAAATTTTTGCCAACACAATTTTTTTTCACTTTGAAAATTTTGTCACACTTGAAAATGGACCTTTCTGTAATTTTGAAAAGTTTGTTGTCAATATGGGTGTGTCAGATTCACAAATTTTTAACTATTAATAATTTTCAAGTGATGAAATTTTCTCAAGGTTTTACCTTATACAGTGTTGTTATGCTGTGATGAAACATGAAAAGGGCAAATGATTGTTGATGTTGATCTTGGAGGGGGGGGAGATGATTTGGGTGATATGATAAGCAAGGGTTGAGTACTCCATTTTGTTGATAGAATCAGGATCTGGTTGTGCTGTTTATTAGGTATGCAGGCATACCTCTTAGTCTAGCAGATTTCTCCCTTTTAAAACCTCTTCTTTTTAGACTCCAGTACAGAATGGTTCTGTTCAACATAATTTTAATTGTTTAAGACATTTATCGGAAAGGCCGTCTCTTACCTGAATGCTACAAACAACTTCAAATGTCTATAATCTGTTTTCTTTTGATGTTTTTTAAACATTTTCTATGGTAGTAATGCTAGCTGTGAAAATGTACATAATATTTATATATAATTCTGTTGGATTAGCGTGTTGATATGAGAAAGGAAGAAATAAAGAGGCATATTAATGGAGACCTTATGGAAGCTGTTAAATATATGTACATAAAAGGGGCTTTTAAAGGGAACATGTTCAGGATTTTCCTGACAAAAATACAATCAGTCGCTATACTACTTTGGGTTAATTTATGTATGTGGTTTTGACTTTGACGCATCAAAAAAAATTTGTAAAAAAAAAGGATGGGTAATCAACTTGATCTCTCTTATAAATTTTTCAAGTAGAAATTATTGTTGCATTTTTGTGTATATTAAGCATATTATACACATGCATCATATTTGGCTTTTACAACTTTTTAAGGAATTGATAAGAACAAGCTTCGTATCCAGAAAATTATTTACTCAGTGAGCATTGCTTAAATATATTCAATTATGTAATCTTATTCACATGGATCCTTTCCTACATAGGAAAAGGTGAATTTATACGCACTACATCCAGAGATTCTGAGTTTTCACTCAACCTTTTCCATGCTCCTGTTCTGTGTTTGCATCTAAAATTAAGAACGGACACAGAAACTAAAATTCAGGGTTGATATATCTTGCTCTTTCTTCTTCAAGGTTGTGGATGAGCCTGATACGAGGCATTGTTTTTTATCTTACTTTTGAACCATTTTTTTTAGATTTTATCAATTAAATGTTTATTGGTTTATCATAATATTATTTTAATATATTATTTAATATAGGGTAATTGTATTTTGTAGTAAGCAGAATACACATTCAAAACTCTAAAAACATACAATATTATTTAAATAAAATATTTTCACAAACTTAAAATTTTTGAATGAAACTAGATGTAAGTTTTAAAAAATGATTTTAGTGATCACATAAGTCCTATCAGTACAAAGATTTGAATTGACTACAGTAACTGAAATTCCTGAATGTTAATATTCTCTTGGAATCATATGTTGTACAGAAGATAAATGTATGGTAAGGGCTTGATTTTTTCGATGGGGAAAATCATTGTCTTTATTATTAGTGAAGTAGATTCTGTAAAATTCACATTTTTCCGTCGAAAATATCTAGTAAATATCTTCTAGTTGATGCAGACAAGATGAGATCTCAAGTTGCAGGTGGTCATAGAGTTCAGATGTAATGAATTATTCTTTTATCTTTAGAAATGCATTGTAAATGTGACAATCATTGCCAAATAAAGTTATATTCAGCGCTGCATGTTTACCTTTTGACAGCTCTCTTTGTTAGATCTCTTCTTCAACATTTTAAAATTTTAAAGAAGAGTATATTTATAAGTACCTTCCTCAGATCTTGACCGATCAAATCAAGTTGGAAAATTTGCATCGCAAATTTAAGCTGTTTTTAACGTAGTCGTTTCTTGAACTGAAAGCCTAGCATGCTATTAATACAGTACTTGAAAATTACCCTTCAAGTTGACGTAATTATGCCTGTTCATGATGTTTAAAATTCAACTAATTCTCACTTTCCACCATCAGAATTATACTGAGGCAAACTGCTCAAAAATGGGAATAAACCCCAAAGGAACATGATTTTATATCCATTTTATTTCCAATTGTTAAGTAACAAATTAATATATAATTCAGTTGACCTCCCAGGTTGACTCTCTTTAATTCTAAATGATTATAATTCATTGACATAGCAGTAATAAAGTATAAATTGTTGCAGTTGCATCACCACCCTATTTAGGATGCTACATGTATAATTTAGTGATACTATTTTAAGCAAGTGTAATACACAATTTAAATTCTTTCATATTAACAAACCTTTTTTTTTAAAAGATGACTCATAACATCTTCATCAAAATGTCTCTCTCAAAATAAATCGAAAACAGTTACGTTTTATAGTGTATTTGTGTCCGTCTTAGATGTTCCTATTCATATTTGAAGACCGGGAAAAAAGGATGGCAAATCATTTTTGCCACTGGAAGAGCATTATTGCGTTAGATGTGCCAGTGGATGTGACATTCAAGCAAAAAAAAAATGTGCCTATTGTGTTAGGTGAGACAACTGGTTGTGACACCATTGCTCTCTGCGTAAGTGTACCTGAATCATTATAAATACTCTTGTATTAATCTATAATCTACTATGCATATATGACTGGAATAGTCCACCGCAAGTTGTACATTGCTGATGATTATAGTAAAAATAATAATAATAATAACGATATATCATTGTATCACACATATTTGATCCATTTTTTAATGCCTCAAGCTGTAAATAATGTGGCATTGTAGTCTAAGTAATCACTGTCGAAGTCTTTCTAAATCCTTGCACGATGGCTGACTATTGCTGGAGGTCGGAGCAATCTGTGACCAATTTTTTGCCGTCAAAGGTGGTCTTAAACTGCTCTGGTACTGCAAATTCCAACTGAAACAAAAACAAAAAAAGTTTTGTTAAGAGGTTCAGTATTGAGATGACATTGCAATCAGTGATTCACACTTTGAGCTTATCCACATTAAAAACAACAAATGGTTAATGTACTACCTAATAGTCAATCCTGAGGATGGAAAGTAAGGTAAAGGGGAGAAAATTCAACCATGTTGGGCAATCATTCGGTTTGCCATGGGATAATTTCCCAGCTACACATTGGATTGCTTAGCAGTTTGTTGCCTTCAAAATGGAAGAGCTCAAGACAAGCTATATCAAATTCAACAAGTTTAATAAGTTTTAAAAGATTTCAAAAAATAATTAATACATGAAATCAAATTTTAAAAAAAAAGGAGACTATAAATCTACCTAAACACAGAATCATCAAGCACTATTATGTTTCATTCGAAAGAAAAGAAAAAAAAAACTTACATAGTCTCCATCAGGTCCAGGCACCAGGATATTCATCTCGGAGGACTTGGCGGTGATGAACTCGGTGTTCATAGAGTCCTTACTGAGATACATCTGGAAGCCGTCTGTCTTGTCCACGCTGACTGTATGGACATGACCGTTGACCTGGGGGAAATGGATGTTCATTAAATACTAGTAACTAAAGGAGTTGACCACTTAATGCGATTTACAAAAATGTATTATAGTGCCTAGGTGTAGCTGATTTATAATTTCACTCTTGTATGTCAATGACCATGAATAGTTGTAACTGACTTTTCCCATGGCTGGGGCTTCGAGCCATGAGATAAAATGTATGTCAGAAAGACCAACTTTTTTTGTACATATTAAATTTCTTGATGAATTCTTTAAAAAAGAGTGCATTTAGCAACCTGAGTGAGTATATACTACAACGTCTAATTACTAGGCAAAAGTTTTCATTTTTTTCCCATTTTCAATCCTCATCCGTCTCACCTGAGCCTGTACACTTTGACAGTTGACAAATTCCACACAGGAGACCACGTCATCAAACACCAGTGCCGTCTTCTTACAGTTATCTGCAAAGAAACATAGGCATAAATAAATAAATAAACAATTAATCAAAATAAATAAATATTTATATATATATATAAATAAATAACCATTGATTAAAATAAACAAATAATTGTGCAAAATGCCTTTCTTTCATTTCAATCTAATATCATTGTTCTGAAAAAAAGTTGTAGACTTGAAGTTCCCCTTTCAAAAAAAAAAAAAAAAAAATCTATATAACAGCAAAATTTCTAATGGTCCCTTCACAATTTTCGTCCTTCTCAACCATCACTATATATTTCACTGTCACTTCACCATGTCTCTTCAAACTTTACCATAAACGAGATAAAACCATGGATGAGACTGCGATTTTGTGGAAAAAGTCTGAAAAATGTCCAGGGGGCCAGGATATGAAGATCTGCATCGATATCAAAATGGCATTTTTGGCTCCCAAACAGTCTGAAATGTGCAAACAGTACAAAAAAAATCTCATTACTGTAAAATGGGATATTTTTGTACTCACCCATGACAATAGAGTTCACTTTTCCCTTGACTTGTAGAGTACTGTCCACACACTTGAACATGTAAACCACCTGTTTCAGCTCCACATCGCTGATCACCAAGTTACGGTTGCCTTTGTGGTGTTCCTGAAATACAAAGACAAAATTCACAATTAATTATATGTAATTATATCAAACGACAAAGAGAAAATGTTAACACTCCATCACTGAACAAAGTGCTACAGTTAATTGTTTGATGTTCTTGGACACAAATAAATTAAAGGGGTTGTTCATGGAATTTTAACTTATATTTATTATTAAATACCCTTTTACAATGTCAAAAGGCAAGTTGTGCCTTTTTTTAGGCACTGACGTTACTGCCACTGCTCTCAAAAATGGAACTACTGCAACCTTAAGAATTCTTTAAAAAAATAGTTATTCATCAAGAAGACAACTTACCACAATCCACTTCTTTCCTTGTAGCTCTAAAACTGGGGGTTTCTCTGCTGCTTTGGCAGCTACTGGAGCTGGAACAGGGGCTTTCTTGGCTGGAGCGCCTCCTGGAGGTTTGAAAGGCTGGGCCCCAATCCTGAGGCTGGGGTTCTTGTGAGTCTTCTGGTCATCTGTGACTTTCTTCAGCCCTGAAAATTTGGATTCAAATTGTTAACTTAAGTTGCTCATATATTTGTATCATTAAAATTCATAAAGGTTACAGCTTTAAATAAAAGCAAAAGCTCATTATTTTTTACCTTTTTTTCTTTGAGCTGAAAGATCTTTTCCAAATACTGTTTCTGACAATAATTTATAAAGCAAATCATTCTTACCTAGTAAAACCTGAAGCTGGTAAGTGTTTTCATTTTAATGGGTTTGAAACATTTTAGATAACTCCAACATTCATTCCTCAAAAGTCAAAGGAGTTCAAGAAGAGCCCAACATAATACAGCTATGTCTTTTTCAACATACATGATGTGTTAAGAATGGCAATTGTCCAATGGGCTTACCCTTGGTGATATCTGTTCCTCTGTTGATCTCAGCAAACACCCCACTCATAGCAGCAGCTGGAGAGGGACCCGCGTCCATACCTCCTGGTGGGGGTGGTGGGGGTGGCCCTGGGGGTGGGGGAGGGGGTGGCCCTCCTGCTGGAGGGGGTGGTGGAGCTGCAGGTCCTGCTGCAGGGGCACTAGATGCATCAATACCCTAGAAATACAAAAACAAGCCATTAGATTGAAATAGCTCTTGGTTAATATATATTAAGGCATATTCAGACCAGGTACCATTTAGGCAAGAAATGGATGTAACTTCTGTTATCATATGACCAAAATACCCCCATCCATTCATATGTTTAACTGTTAGACCGATTTCCAATCCAAAGCAAGTAATGAATACAGCTGACACCAAATTGAGTTCGCTCAAGTTAGCTGAAATACTATATTATAATAAAGTTATCTTGTCCATAGCTGTTAAGCCCTAAACAAACTATCTATTGGAAAATCAAATAACTTTTCCTGTGTTCCATGTAATTCAAGGAGCTAGTGCAGCATTAACATCTAAAATAGGTGCTATGTGCTCTTGTGTTCCATGTGACAAGCAATGCCTGTGTTGTGGAACTCCTTGATGTATAAAACAAAGCATGGGACACAGTTATACAGCACTTAACCCCACATTCCATGCAATCCCTTTGTTGTGGAACTCCTTGATGTATAAAACAAGGCACGGCACACAGATATGCGGCACTTACCCCTGCGCTCCATACAATGCCTGTGGTGTGGAAATTCTTGATGTATAAAACAAAGCACGGCACACAGATATACGGCACTTACCCCCGCGTTCCATGCAATCCCTGTGGTGTGGAACTCCTTGATGTAGGCCTGCAGTTCCTTCAGAGTCTCGTTCCAGGCTCTCATCCAATCCACATGGGTCTTGTCTCTGGAAAGGGTGACATTTTCATCACATTTATTTACTCCTTAAAAGTATCCAAAATCTATTGCAAGTTGACAAATATAATATAATATAATCTAAAAGCAGATCATTTCTAAACAATTTAACATTTTTTATCTAAGTTATAATAATTTTCCCCTTTTTATTTTTCAACATCTTTAGGAGACCACAAAATACTTTTTCCAGAACTGTAAATATGTATGAAATTATAAAATCGCCTATACACAGATTATTGTATTACAGCTGCAAATTTTGAACACTTCGAAACAAAAGGCAAAGCACTAGACTAAGGAGTTAAACACCCTATCTACAAACTCTATTTGCCCTGCAGATTTTAGACAATTTTCAAAAAAAAAAAAAAAAAAATTTGCCTGATGACCTCTGTCAGATTCACACTCCCATCTCTTCAAAACAATGTTGTGACTGATCTTTAAATCTTACTTTTCTTTGAATTCCTTGAGAACTCTGTTTCCATAGAACTGTCCAGCATCACCCATCTCCTTCACAAATGGTCCTGGGGCTGGGGCCTACATAATACATACAATACAGATTTTATTATAATATTTCTGTGGAATTCTACATCGTGGAACTAAATAAACCGTTTAAAAAAGAAAAATGTGTGATAAGTGCAAACAGTTACAGTACTGCAAAATGTGGTCTGGTAGATGGAATTCTGAAAAATGCCAACTTCTGAATTTTTCTCATTATTTCTCAAGATATTCTCTCATATTGCAAAGATACGAGTAAATCAGCGTAGACATTTATCTGAGATAAATCCAATATGATACTAAAATGTAAAGTGTGCTGCCCCCTGGTGTTGTGATTAGAGCTGCCCCCTAGTGTCATGTACTGTAACTCACCACAGTGACCCATCCCAGTGCTGGGCTGGACTCACTGAGAACGGACAGATGGTTTATGAATGGACTCTTATGCTGTTTCTGGCGGAACGCCTGGATGTTCTGGATCTCGTCTGATGTGGGCTTCAACAAGGCGACCAGTACGTCCTGGAAGATAACATCATAAATTATAAATTATATAAATTATCATAAATATATTATCATAAATTATTAAAAGTGGCATTGTCACATTATCATGGTGAAAATTAACTTCAGCAGCAATCAAAATGTTTTTTTTTCTGCAAGTTACAGAAATAACTCTCTCACAAAATTCAATTCCTCCTTATATCATTTCATTCATCATTTCCAATTCACAGGTAATTTCATTCATGAAGAAAAATATGATAAGGGGAATATCGATGTCATTCTAAATTGATCTTGGTATGGATGCAACTACATCCACATTACCCAAGAAGTGTTTAAACCTAATAGCGAAGTTTGATTGCTGCCATCAAGCTGCCAGTCACTATTTGATTGACAGCACCATCCATGCTAAAGACCTGCATATTAGACACAATCAACCAATCACCCGCTTCAAAACTAGGTCAAGGAGCCAACAGTGTGCGCACACAACAAATCACAGTGTCACCCAAATGTATTGTTCCAACGGCAAGAGGGGTAAACAAATATACAGTCAGGTATTGCTGTGGCTGGGCAAACATTTTAACTGATAGCTTTTGTGGTTTAATGTTCGGAGAGAGACGTTTAAATGGGGATTTAAGACACTGAACATGAAATACTCTTTACCGGATCCAGCGCTTTGCCAAATATCCTAGGCTTTTATTGATATGTATTCCTGAAGTGAAATATCCAAGGCTTTTATTGATATGTATTACTGAAGTGAAATACCCAAGATTTCAATTGTAAAATATTATTGAAGTTAATGTATGAGTTTAAGCTACCTTAAAATGTTGAACTTGGAGCGCTTTTCTCAAGTTTCTAATCCTTTACCAAATATGTAATATTTTTTCTTTTTGTAGTACATTTCAGGGGTAGCACTGGTTGCATTAACATGTGTTCAGTCTTTACAGTTCTATTTCTTCTTATTGGAATACCAAAGACTTCTTGTAGAATCTCAATCACAGTAGAAAAAATATTTAACATCAAGTAAAAATACCTCCTAAACATTGAGTATGATGCATTCCTCGATAATTTGCCAACTGTTAAAACTGAATTTCTTTTAAAATGTATAATGTCAATTATTTAAAAAAAAAAAATGTCAACCACTTGACTACTAGTTTGGTCAAAATATGCCTCATAAATCATTAAGTAGCAACCTAGCATAAAGAAAGGAGCTAGCAAAACAGCTGTGAAGCTATTTAACCAATAAAACAAATCCACATGCTGACAGTCAATGAAATTCCTGGTGGATAATTAACTAAACTGAGCTAATTTTATGATACGGTCTCTAAGTGGTCATCATGCTATAATAACACTCATACAGGCTACACTGTGTACTGTCCAATGAGAGCATATTTGACTGCTTTGCACGAGCAAATATAAATTAAATAATATTCACAGTACTCACTGGAAAAACTTCGAGACATACTGCCTATGTCACTTCATTAGCAGTAGTGCCGTAATAGTATTTGCTGACCAATTTCCAAACATTCTACCGTTTTCCAGAAGCAAACATCGGTGAGATAACAAATCAGAACGCATACTGTCACTGGCAAAATATCAGCCATAATGACATCACCAGGGAGAGTTGGAAGCCATCTTCTGGGTCTTCTGGAAGATGGTCTGAATTTTTCAAGCTTACAATGACAGGCTTCTTATTTTATTTGTTGGAAGACAGTCAAAAATTGAAGATGGATCAACAAACATAGTTTGGAAGACTGTCGGAAAATATCTCTGGATCCACTTCTGATCACAGCATACAGACCAGCCTCAAGTGCAAATTATTCTACCGTTCTACGCAAACTTTTCTCAAGGGTGATTTGAGTCAACAGTGGCTAATTGTGAGCTGTCATAAAGCACATTAATACATGTCCAAGTTGGGTGGACTATCAGACTGAGGTGGACTATACTAAGTTGGGTCTTCCATCTCCAATAGAAACATGCCTTATAATCTAGCACTTTTGACAAATGATTCGCAATGTTTTCGGGTGTCACTGTTTCCTTGATAACATGATGTTAATTCATAAATCTACACATTTTGACAAGTAGAATTTCATACCCCTGATTCAGGAGAATCCAACTACGTCAAATACAACAAATCGACAACCTGAAAATTTATCTGTACTGAGCCTCAATGACAAAGAGTTTTCCTTTGAAGAACAATAATTCTAACACTATCCCCTCTACCACTGCTTCCCCCCCCCCTCAAAAAAAAAAAAAAAATCATTTGGCAAAATACAAGGGAAGTTTGAAACAAGTGTGTTAAAAATGAAGGTCCCCATCTTTTATTCTGTTTTTATCTGACAGCAGCGGTGTAGTCACAACACCAGAAGACATCACCAACGCTTGGTCTGAGTGACTGGCCAAACTTCTCGACTTCAATCCATACATCTATCTTCACCAGAATACTCAAGGTGATAATTGTATAAATACACTTAATGGACAGTTGCCATGGCAACAGATAACACGATGCTCGCAGACAATACTTCGCAAATTCTTTTTTATTGTGCAGGATAAAAGTAAGCAAATATTCTCCAGTAAATATACACACTACACCCAACTCTGTGACAACAAATAAATAACCTCCTCGTGACACAGAAACCTGAACAAAGAAATCTGCTGGGTGGAATACAATGGATAAGTATATGGTACTGCCTCGTTAGATTTCAAGTCCTAACATGAAAAATGATTGTTAAAACACAAACCAATTTTGATATGACACAAGCCATGACCTCTACAAAGAGGTATTGAAAGGAACAGAAAACAGGGCTACTGTGTAAAATTTCAAGATATGACCTAGAAAACGACCCATAAAATGCGAGCCCCTTGGAAAAAAGTGAGGCAGTTCCTGAAAGACATATGCAACCAACATAAACAGGGCGATAAGGGTTTCATCTATATTTGCCCATCTTTGTAATAATACACCTAAAGGTTTAGAAGCCAAGATGCCAAACCCAAAAATAACTTTCATATGTTCTCATAAACAATTAAAGTCCGTAGCTTTTACTTAATTCAATGAGAGTCCTTAATTTGTTATCTCAACAGCGATGTTGATGCAAGAGTAACCTTAAATGGCATACTAGTAACCCACGGTTTGGGACAAAAATGAGCTTGATGAGGAAAAAAGATTATCCTGAGTAACACTCTTACAAAATGCAGTAAAAAAAAAGGAAGTATTCATTATATCCCTGAAAATTTCAGGAAATTTACTACTTCTTCAGCAAATTAATGATAACTTTTTTCAGTTATATATTGCTCAATAAAATGAAAATGGTCATATGTTCTACTTTCTTTAGGCCAGAATAAAATTTCTTTGTTATTTGCAAATCCTGCTTCATCATACCTTAAAGAAAGCAAGGCACAAAGTACAGAGAAAAAAATAAGGAAATTGCGGAGGTAAAAACTAGGGAAAACTAGTAATTCCCATATTAAAAGCATACTTCAGTTGTTTAAAATTTACTAGCTATGCTTAAGTTAATAGTGTAACATGGAAAAAAATGTCAACTACATCTACCTTACGCAATTTTTAAAGTTGATTCTAAAAATCTAACAAACATTTGAACACAATTTCAAGTTTACATTCGAAACACCTGTATCTAAGGCATAAGCATCAAACCCAATTAAAATATATAATTCTGTTTTTCTTGCTATTTTATTGCCAGTTTTCAAAAAAAGCATTACTTCACCAGGTAATCATTTAATCTCACTTAAAACCCATCAGACTTTTACCAGCCGGAATTTTAATTCTGTTTAACAAGCGCATCAGCCATGGTGAATACTCTCCATGTTAAATAACTGTGAAAGAGAAAACAAGGCAAGTCAAAAGTTATAACGCCTAATTTGTCCAGGATTATCACGTGTAAACACGCCAGGTGAAACACGACCTTTAGACCCACTACTTCATGCTACTACAATATTATCATAACTCGAATGAAAACACATACAGAAGTATCGCACACAGCCAGATCATCACTTGAGTGGAAACCTTCAGAAATTGCCCCGAAAGGAGAAACATCATATTACAACATCGTATGAAATCCCATCCCTAAGCCTGGTCCACGGGAAGTTCAAGAGAGCATTTCATAAATTGACAACGCGATGGAGTGTGTCTGTCCAGAAAAGGGTATATTTGCCGCGTAAAATAAACATGAGGCAACTAACGGCTCATAATGCTTTTTGCCTGAGGCAGTGTATTGTTGATTTTTCTACAGATATCCCCTACAGCAAGTAGCACTGTAAATGCCTGATGACTGTGCACATTTATTTTAAAATTGAAAAGCAGTTGGAAAATGGTAATTGTTGGAAATTCACTCCACAACCAACACAATTGTTCTGCCTCCAAAAATTGACTTCTTCCACTTAACATAAATATCCATAAATTAAGTTTATGTTAATTTGCAGGTCAAAAATCGTTCATCTTCTTTTTTCTCTGTTAATAAATTGAAAATAGAACGATATAAGAAACTTTTTCATTTTCATTCTGAGCTTGCCCTTTAAAAAAAAAAATTAACTTTCAGCATGTGAATCTCAGTGATCCAAAACCAGAAAAGACAATAAATGTAACCATTTTACATTAAACAAAATAAAATTCAATATAAACAATTCCTTTTCATTTCAATCAAAACTTTATCAAACACAACTTTTTGCCTTAAAAACTACTCCAAATTCATAAAAATAAATCCTTCAGTTTTATTTACATTACTCATTAAATGATTAAAACCTTTTTTCAAAACGACAGATCGAGAAGTCAAGGCATGACCTTGACTTAAATGTGTACGCAGCTGTGACCGATTGATCTTGGTTACGGAGGTCCCACGACTTTACGACTGACACATTAACACGGTCCAATGAATTCAAGTAACTTATATTCACCCTGCCATGAAGTCATTGCTGTTGGCATTGTAATAGGTGATGTCTCATTTAAATATTCATGAAGTAAACATTTGATTGACAGGTGGGGTGCTACCCAATTTGCATGTGGTATGTGGTGACATCCATTGGCAGCTTAATGTATGTAAAAAGAAAGTGTGTGTGTGTGAGAGAGAGAGAGAGAGAGAGAGAGAGAGAGAGAGAGAGAGAGAGAGAGAGAGAGAGAGAGAGACTATACCTGTGAAGGTTGTTTGCACTTAGCGACTAATGACAGAAATTGTCTCTGTGCCTGAAACCCTTTCAGCAACATCGCAGCCTGGAACACAATTAATAGGAATAAATAACTCACACTGATTGTGCCAGGACACATCCTTCATCACACCTAACACAATCTTGAAAAAGATCATGTATCAATTGTTAATCAATACATTATCATAATAGTGAGCAACACAACCTCTTTTTGCAAACAAATATAAGTGACATTTTCGAAACAGCAATTAACTTTTACTTCACAGCCACAAGTAAAAGACTGCCATCAGTTTAGCCTTTTTTCCTTCCACCTAAAGTTTCAAAGAAGAAGGTCTATATTACAAAATATGCTAACATATCTGTTTTGGATTCTCATTAGTTTTCATTTTCAATTAAAAAAAAAAAAAAAAAAAAAACTTCCTATCTTACCGATTCCTTGACATCTCCTCCAATCTTATTGCTCAGGTCTACGAAGGTGGCCAGATTCCCTTTCATCAGGTCATCGAAGGCCGTCACAAAGGCATGGGACACCTCTGGAATGACCACAATATAACATTATAGCAAAAAAAAAAAAAAAAAAAAAAAAAAAAAGAAAAAAANTAAAGGCATATTCAGACCAGGTACCATTTAGGCAAGAAATGGATGTAACTTCTGTTATCATATGACCAAAATACCCCCATCCATTCATATGTTTAACTGTTAGACCGATTTCCAATCCAAAGCAAGTACTGAAATGAATACAGCTGACACCAAATTCAGTTCGCTCAAGTTAGCTGAAATACTATATTATAATAAAGTTATCTTGTCCATTGCTGTTAAGCCCTAAACAAACTATCTATTGGAAAATCAAATAACTTTTCCTGTGTTCCATGTAATTCAAGGAGCTAGTGCAGTATTAACATCTAAAATAGGTGCTATGTGCTCTTGTGTTCCATGTGACATGCAATGCCTGTGTTTTGGAACTCCTTGATGTATAAAACAAAGCATGGCACACAGATATACAACACTTACCCCTGCGTTCCATGCAATCCCTGTGGTGTGGAACTCCTTGATGTAGGCCTGCAGTTCCTTCAGAGTCTCGTTCCAGGCTCTCATCCAATCCACATGGGTCTTGTCTCTGGAAAGGGTGACATTTTAATCACATTTATTTAGTCCTTTAAAAATATCTAAAATCTATTGCAAGTTGACAAATATAATATAATCTAAAAGCAGATCATTTCTAAAGAATTTAACATTTTTTATCTAAGTTATAATAATTTTCCCCCTTTTTATTTTTCACCATCTTTAGGAGACCACAAAATACTATTTCCTTGTAACCAGAACTGTAAATATGTATGAAATTATAAACAAAAGACAAAGCACTACACTAAGGAGTTAAACACCCTATCTACAAACTCTATTTGCCCTGCAGATTTAAGACAATTTTCAAAAAAAAAAAAAATACCTGACGACCTCTGTCAGATTCACACTCCCATCTCTTCAAAACAATGTTGTGACTGATCTTAAAATCTTACTTTTCTTTGAATTCCTTGAGAACTCTGTTTCCATAGAACTGTCCAGCATCACCCATCTCCTTCACAAATGGTCCTGGGGCTGGGGCCTACATAATACATACAATGCAGATTTTATTATAATATTTCTGTGGAGTTCTACATCATGGAACTAAATAAAACGTTTAAAATGCGTGATAAGTGCAAACAGTTATAGTACTGCAAAATGTGGTCCAACTGATGGAATTCTGAAATGTGCCAACTTCTGAATTTCTTTTCATTATTTTTCAAGATGTTCTATCATTGCAAAGATGTAAGTAAATCAGCATAGACATTTATCTTACACAAATTCATTATTATTATTATAAAACAAAGTGTGCTGCCCCCTGGTGTTGTGATTAAAGCTGCCCCCTGGTGCCGTGTACTGTAACTCACCACAGTGACCCATCCCAGTGCTGGGCTGGACTCGCTGAGAACGGACAGATGGTTTATGAATGGACTCTTATGCTGCTTCTGGCGGAACGCCTGGATGTTCTGGATCTCATCTGACGTGGGCTTCAACAGGGCGACCAGTACCTCCTGGAAGATAACATCATAAATTATAAATTATATAAATTATCATAAATATATTATCATAAATTATTAAAAGTGACACAGTCACATTATCATGGTGAAAATTAACTTCAGCAGCAATCAAATTTTTTTCTGCAAGTTACAGAAATAACTTTCTCACAAAATTCAATTCCTCCTTATATCATTTCATTCATCATTTCCAATTCACAGGTAATTTCATTCATGAAGAAAAATATGAAAAGTGGAATATCGATATCATCCTAAATAGATCTTGGTATGAATGCAACTACATCCATATAACCCAACAAGTGTTTAAACCTAATATTGAAGTTTGATATCCTGCCATCACACTGCCAATCATTATTTGATTGACAGCACCATCCATGCTAAAGACCTGCATATTAGACAAAATAAACCAATCACCCGCTTCAAAACTAGGTCAAGGAGCCAACAGTGTGCGCACACAACAAATCACAGTGTCACCCAAATGTATTGTTCCAATGGAAAGAGGGGTAAACAAATATACAGTCAGGTATTGCTGTGGCTGGGCAAACATTTTAACTGATAGCTTTTGTGGTTTAATGTTCGGAGAGAGACGTTTAAATGGGGATTTAAGACACTGAACATGAAATACTCTTTACCGTATCCAGTGCTTTGCCAAATATCCTAGGCTTTTATTGTTATGTATTCCTGAAGTGAAATATCCAAGGCTTTTATTGATATGTATTACTGAAGTGAAATACCCAAGACTTTAATTGTAAAATATTATTGAAGTTAAAGTATGAGTTTAAGCTACCTTAAAATGTTGAACTTGGAGCGCTTTTCTCAAGTTTCTAATCCTTTACCAAATATGTAATACTTTTTCTTTTTGTAGTACATTTCAGGGGTAGCACTGGTTGATATTGCATTAACATGTGTTCAGTCTTTACAGTTATATTTCTTCTTATTGGAATACCAAAGACTTCTTGTAGAATCTCAATCACAGTAGAAAAAATATTTAACATCAAGTAGAAATACGTCCTAAATATTGAGTATGATGCATCCCTCGATAATTTGCCAACTGTTGAAACTGAATTTCTTTTAAAATGTATAATGTCAATTATTTAAAAAAATAAAAAAAATGTCAACCACTTGACTACTAGTTTGGTCAAAATATGCCTCATAAATCATTAAGTAGCAACCTAGCATAAAGAAAGGAGCTAGAAAAACAGCTGTGAAGCTATTTAACCAATAAAACAAATCCACATGATGACAGTCAATGAAATTCCTGATGGATAATTAACTAAACTGAGCTAATTTTATGATAGGGTCTCTAAGTGGTCATCATGCTATAATAACACTCATACAAGCTATACTGTGTACTGACCAATGCAGGCATATTTGACTGCTTTACACAAGCAAATATAAATTAAATAATATTCGCAGCACTCACAGGCAAGACTTTGAGACACGCTGCTTCTGTCATTTCATTAGCAGTAGTGCTGTAATAGTATTTGCTGACCATTTTCCAAACATTCTACCGTTTTCCAGAAGCAAACACCAGTGAGATAACAAATCAGAACGCATACAAAAACAGAGGACATACTGTCACTGGCAAAATATCAGCCATAATGACATCACCAGGGGCAGTTGAGGGCCTTCTTCTGGGTCTTCTGGAAGATGGTCTGAATTTTTCAAGCTTGCAATGACAGGCATCTAATTTTCCTTGTTGGAAGACAGTCAAAAATTGAGGATGGATCAACAAAGATAGTTTGGAAGACTGTCAGAAAATATCTCTGGACCCGCTTTAGATCACAGCATACAGACCAACCTCAAGTGCAAATTATTCTACCGTTCTTCGCAAACATTTATCAATGGTGATTTGAATTAACAGTGGCTAATTGTCAGCTGTCACAAGGCGCATTTATGTCCAAGTTGGGTGGACTATCACACTGAGGTGGACTGTACTAAGATAGGCCGTCCATCTCCAATGGAAACATGCCTTATAATCTAGCACTTTTGACAAATAATTCACAATGTTTTCGGGTGTCACTGTTTCCTTGATAACATGATGTTAAATCATAAATCTACACATTTCAACAAGTAGAATTTCATAACCCCGATTTAGGAGAATCCAACTACGTCAAATACAACAAATCTACAACCTGAGAATTTATCTGTACTGAGCCTCAAAGAGACAGAGAGTTTTCCCTTGAAGAACAATAATTCCGTCATTATCCCCTGCAACCCCCCAATAAAAAAATGGGCAAAATACAAGGGAAGTTTGAAACAAGTGTGTTAAAAATTAGGGTCCCCATCTTTTATTCTGTTTTTATCAGACAGCAACAGTGTAGTCACAACACCAGAAGACATCACCAATGCTTGGTCTGAGTGACTGGCCAAACTTCTCGACTTCAATCCATACATCTATCTCAGCAGAATACTCACGGTGATAATTGTATAAATACACTTAATGGACAGTTGCCATGGCAACAGATAACACGATGCTCGCAAACAATACTTCGCAAATTCTTTTTTATTGTGCTTGATAAAAGTAAGCAAATATTCTCCAGTAAATATACACACTACACCCAACTCTGTGACAACAAATAAATAACCTCCTCGTGACACAGAAACCTGAACAAAGAAATCTGCTGGGTGGAATACAATGGATAAGTATATGGAACTGCCTCGTTAGATTTCAAGTCCTAACATGAAAAATGATTGTTAAAACACAAACCAATTTTGATATGACACAAGCCATGACCTCTACAAAGAGGTATTGAAAGGAACAGTAAACGGGGCTACTGTGTAAAATTTCAAGATATGACCTAGAAAACGACCCATAAAATGCGAGCCCCTTGGAAAAAAGTGAGGCAGTTCCTGAAAGACATATGCAACCAACACAAACAGGGCGATAAGGGTTTCATCTATATTTGCCCATCTTTGTAATAATACACCTAAAGGTTCGGAAGCCAAGATGCCAAACCCAAAAATAACTATCATATGTTCTCATAAACAATTGAAGTCCGTAGCTTTTACTTAATTCAATGAGGGTCCTTAATTTGTTATCTCAACAGCTCTGTTGATGCAAGAGTAACCTTAAATGGCATACTAGTAACCCATGGTTTGGGACAAAAATGAGCTCGATGAGGAAAAAAGATTATCCTGAGTAACACTCTTACAAAATGCAGTAAAAAAAAGGAAGCTACTATTCATTATATCCCTGAAAATTTCAGGGAATTTACTACTTCTTCAGCAAATAAATGATAACTTTTTTCAGTTATATATTGCTCAATAAAATGAAAATGGTCATATGTTCTACTTTCTTTAGGCCAGAATAAAATTTCCTTGTTATTTGCAAGTTCTGCTTCATCATACCTTAAAGAAAGCAAGACACAAAGTACAGAGAAAAAACAAGGAAATTGTGGAGGTAAAAACTAGGGAAAACTAGTAATTCCCATATTAAAAGCATACTTCAGTTGTTTAAAATTTACTAGCTATGCTTATGTTAATGGTGTAACATGGAAAAAAATGTCAACTACATCTACCTTATGCAATTTTTAAAGTTGATTCTAAAAATCTAACAAACATTTGAACACAATTTCAAGTTTACATTCGAAACACCTGTATCTAAGGCATTAGCATCAAACCCAATTAAAATATAAAATTCTGTTTTCCTTGCCATTTTATTGCCAGTTTTCAAAAAAAGCATTACTTCACCAGGTAATCATTTAATCTCACTTAAAACCCATCAGACTTTTACCAGCCGGAATTTTAATTCTGTTTAACAAGCCCATCAGCCATGGTGAATACTCTCCATGTTAAACAACTGTGAAAGAGAAAACAAGGCAAGTCAAAAGTTATAACGCCTAATTTGTCCAGGATTATCACGTGTAAACACGCCAGGTGAAACACGACCTTTAGACCCACTACTTCATGCTACTACAATATTATCATAACTCGAATGAAAACACATACAGAAGTATCGCACACAGCCGGATCATCACTTGAGTGGAAACCTTCAGAAATTGCCCCGAAAGGAGAAACATCATATTACAACATCGTATGAAATCCCATCCCTAAGCCTGGTCCACGGGAAGTTCAAGAGAGCATTTCATAAATTGACAACGCGATGGAGTGTGTCTGTCCAGAAAAGGGTGTATTTGCCGCGTAAAATAAACATGAGGCAACTAACGGCTCATAATGCTTTTTGCCTGAGGCAGTGTATTGTTGATTTTTCTACAGATATCCCCTACAGCAAGTAGCACTGTCAATGCCTGATGACTGTGCACATTTATTTTAAAATTGAAAAGCAGTTGGAAAATGGTAATTGTTGGAATTTCACTCCATAACCAACACAATTGTTCTGCCTCCAAAAATTGACTTCTTCCACTTAACATAAATATCCATTAATTAAGTTTATGTTTATTTTGCAGGTAAAAAATCATTCATTTTCTTTTTTCTCTGTTAATAAATTGAAAAAAGAACAACAGAAGAAACTTTTTCATTTTCATTCTGAGTTTGCCCTTTAAAAAAACTTTTAACTTTCAGAATGTGAATCTCAGTGATCCAAAACCAGAAAGGACAATTAACGTAACCATTTTACTTTGAAAAAAATAAAATTCAATGTAAACAATTCCTTTTCATTTCAATCAAAACTTTATCAAACACAACTTTCCCCCTTAAAAACTACTCCAAATTCATAAAAATAAATCCTTAAGTTTTATTTACATTACTCATTAAATGATTAAGGCCTTTTTTCAAAACAACAGATCGAGAAGTCAAGGCATGACCTTGACTTAAATGTGTACGCAGCTGTGACCGATTGATCTTGGTTACGGAGGTCCCACGACTTTACGACTGACATATTAACACGGTCCAATGAATTCAAGTAACTTATATTCAACCTGCCATGAAGTCATTGCTGTTGGCATTGTAATAGGTGATGCCTCATTTAAATATTCATGAAGTAAACATATGAATGACAGGTGGGGTGCTACCCAATTTGCATGTGGTAGGTGGTGACATCCATTGGCAGCTTAATGTATGTAAAAAGAAAGTGTGTGTGTGTGTGTGTGTGTGTGAGAGAGAGAGAGAGAGAGAGAGAGAGAGAGAGAGAGAGAGAGACTATACCTGTGAAGGTTGTTTGCACTTAGCGACTAATGACAGGAATTGTCTCTGTGCCTGAAACCCTTTCAGCAACATCGCAGCCTGGAACACAATTAATGGGAATAAATAAATCACACTGATTGTGCTAGGACACATCCTTTATCACACCTAGCACAATCTTGAAAAAGATCATGAGTCATTTGTTAATCAAGACAATTATCATAATAGTGAGCAACACTCTTTTTGCAAACAAATAAAAGTAACCAATTAACTTTTACTTCACAGCCACAACTAAAAAGACTGCCATCAGTTCTGCCTTTTTTCCTTCCACCTAAAGTTTCACAGAAGAATACCTATATTACAAAATATTCTAACATATCTGTTTTGGATTCTCATTAGTATTCATTTTCAATTAAAAAAAAACAAAACTTCCTGTCTTACCGATTCCTTGACATCTCCTCCGATCTTATTGCTCAGGTCTACGAAGGTGGCCAGACTCCCTTTCATTAGGTCATCGAAGGCCGTCACAAAGGCATGGGACACCTCTGGAATGACCACAATATAACATTATAGCAAAAAAAAAAAATAAAAAATACATTGAATCAAAAGTCTCATTTACATAAGATTTAATTCGGACTGGAATTCGACTCCTTTTTATTGGACATTTAACTATGATAACATCCCCTCTTGTCTAAAGAAATCTTTGTCATCCTTTTTCAAAAAGAGAGATATCGACTTTGGAGCTAAAAAAAAAAAAAAAAAAAAAAAGAAGAAAAGCACTGTAAAAAAAACTCTTGTAAATCATAACATCAAGTTCAGTAAAATGGCAGCAATATGCAAGCATATAGTATTCCTCTCTTAGCTGGAAATGAAAATTTCTGTCGTTATATACTGATGAAGATGGCTGATGCATAAAAAATATAAAGTTACATATGCATAAATCACTACTATTAATCACTCTTAGTTTCTTATATGACTCAAATAAAGTTCACACGCCAGGGATAAACCAAATTAATCACTCAGTCAGTCCCCGCCCCCCCCCAAATAAAAACTTAAAAAAAAACAAAAAAAAAACGGCATCTCCTTCAAATTTCTGGTTGTTAACTTTATCTGTCCGTACAGATCATAAGTTTGCTAAATGACACAGTATGACACATTTCTGCTGGACATGCAGTATATTATAATTATTCAAATGATGTTTGGCAAAAAGGACCAAGTGTTAAATATAGCACAGTAAGACAGCAGTGTTATTACTGCATTTCAGGTAAAATGAATTTTTTTTTCTCTTTCATCCTGGTATACCTTTACTAGAACCCCCCCCCCCCTCCCACAGACCTTGCTGCACCACAGAGTGAGACGTGTAATGATGCTCCTCCCTGCCTTGTGAAGAATGACTCAGCACTTTCTGGGATGCTGCCATCCTGGGATTGGCACTTCCGTACATGCTGGTTGTTTCCTCCATCTCTCTCTGGAGTCGAGGTGAGTTAGCTTCAGTCATCTTCCTTTGGTGTGACGGAGAGCCAAATTCGGACATTTTTCTTTGTTGACTTGGAGAGCCATATTCTGACATTTTTTTCTCCAGCCTTGGAGAATTTGAACAAGATGATTCCATTTCCCATGCTGATTGCATCTCGCCATTACTCGACTCACTTGCATATATTTCTTCCTTTGGTTTGGTAGACCATGAACTTTCACTTTTTCTCACAGAATCTGTGCTGAGGGGTGTTCTTTTTGGCTCTGGGCTACGGCTGCCAAGATGGCTTTCAAATGACCTTCTAGATGGCCCAGGGCTACTGTATGGTGATTCCTTTTCCGAGGCAGTCACTGGGGTAACTGGATGTTCTTCTTTTGGAACTTGAAGTGAGGAAGTTGTGCTGTATTGGCCACCAGATGGCACTGGGGGAGCTGGGGCTTTGGCTTTTCCTGGCTGTGTTACCCAGGGTGCTCTGCTGTTTCCACCTCCCTTTCCTCCACCATATTTTCCTGAGGGCATCTGCCATTTTGTGGTCTTATTCTGACGGATTTTGGACTCAAAAGTTTGCTTTCTAGCAGCCACGTCTGCTTTGGGCGCCCCGCCTTTCTTTTGCCCGCTTTGTGGATCAAAAGCTTGCTTCCTCTCGGCTATGTTAACACTGTGAGCAATAGCATTGTTACCACCTTCTTTTGTCTCAGTTTGGTCTGGCTCCTCCTCGCCAGCAGCATCTTGACCCCAAAATCCAGTCTTCTTCAAATTCACCTTGAACATTGTCTTTGCATAAACTTACGTCTGCTTGGAACTTGGAACACAGAAGAAAACCTCCTTAAAGCTTTTGCTGAAAATGGCACTCAAAGTCTGAGAGTCATTCGTTTTTGACACAAAGAGCATTTATGACAGAACTAAACTTGAGCAAGTCTTTTTGCACGCTCCTGTCAGAGTTATAACTGTGGGAAGCACTGTACTCTCTGCCTGTAAGTCTTGTCAGAGTTTAACTGACAGATATCTCCTCGAGGACAGTTGATCGACTTGTCGTGAGTAGAGAAACGGTGCCATAGCACATAAAGACAACTGTTCTGTAGCTGTTTAACTCAAGTAAAGACAAAACACTGGCTTTTCACAGCATAAAAGTCAAGAATATTTTCCTAATGCCATTCTACAACACCAACATTGTCAGGCGGACGCGACAGCTCGCTTGGCAGTCCGCAAAGACAGTGAAGTATGATACATATGACAATTTCTAACAGCCACAAAACACATGTGGTCTATATTTCTGTCCAGCTCATCATCATCCATTTCAGGGCCCAAGGATGTAACATAGTGTACAACTCAATCATTGCATGAAGAAGCCTGAAAACTCAGCTTCAGGGCTCCAAAGTATGTAACACAGGTGCCCTATGAGCATATCTATTAGCAATGACAGTCAGTGAAATTGCTGAAACTTTCACCAACCATATGGTGGCTTTTAGGGCTGACACCATGTTTAAGATAATGGTTACGAAATGCTTAAATACTCGTCCCAATTTCGGGCCAGAGACCCAGAGAGCTCATTCCCAAAGAAACTGCAATTCTACTTAGATCAACCCAACTCTACGGGGATCTTTCACTGAATGCAATCAGTTTAACAGCTTTACACACCTCCTCTTGACAATGAGTCTGAGACAGAAAAGATGGAGATTATACTAGTACAGTGGTGACAAGACAAAATTATTTCGTTGGTGCCCAGAAGCTGCATGATTAAGAGTTGTAACTGCTTGCAGGGCAGTAGGGTACCAGCTGTCGGGACTAAGTCACACTGCTTAATTATTCCCTCATTAAAATTTTTGTTCCACACCCAAGGCAAAATTTTAGAATGAAATCGTTAAATTAAAAATTTATTAATAAAATACAGCATTTAACTTTTGGTGGGAGTTGGTGGCATTTTTTGCATGTTACAAGCACCCACTGATGGTATATATGTAAGTTAATTACGATGGATCATCAAGTGCATTTAATCCCAGGCTGATACTCATCAATGAAATTTCTAAAAATATTTCAAATAAAATTTTTTCATCTTAGAAAAACTTTGGTGTTTCTCATTTTTCCTGGTGACAGGTTAAGCAGCAAGATGACAATCTGTTGCAATGCATACCAAAATATTCCACTGTCCCTGTAAAAAAAGCTTAAGAATCTCTAATTTGTATAGTAGGGATATCTTTATGAGATATTAACAGTATGTATGTCAGTCTCTGGGCACTAATTCACAGAAAACTCTATTTTTTAGCTAAGCCTAGACTGATATACTTGGAATATTTTTTAATCCAGACATAAAAAGAAATCGGTGCACTTCATAAAGTACGTAATCAGCCTATCAATAAAACATTTTTCAGTAAAAAAAAAACTCAAACATCTTTGAATGGATGCCATGTGACAGCTTGCAGACGACATGACAAGTCATTCTTTCTAATATGCTGGGGACACTTGTATCCTGAGAAGCTTACAGGGACAACAACTCTTCATATCAGATCTATGTTTCACAATATATACTGCTGTACATGATTGTAAACAACTCATAGAAATATAATATATACTATTTTACCACAAAAACAGCAGTTATAGTAATTTTTTTAAAATTTGTGCTTGTCATTGGACCATGTGACCTTCATAGATAGCTATACTCTGTAATAATCTCTTAAGAGATTATCGCAAAAAAAAAAAAAAAAAACCTTTTAGAAAAAAACCAGGGACTATCCTTGAATGTAGAAATGGATTTATTATCCAATGGCTAGCATGAAAAAATTGTTGATTACCCCAGGAAAATTCAATTTTTGGCCAAAATGAACAGTTGTTATCCTCTTAACTTGGACAAGGTTTAAGTCCAAATATGACCACTTTTTTTTTTTTGTTTAACTCTGGGATTTCATTTAAGTTTTCAATATCTATTTATGATCTCAAGTTTTAAGTCTTAAAATGACCATAGTGGAAACAAGTCTTCAGACTATTCTGATAATCCTATGATTTTATGTAGGTTTTCAATATCTGAAACAAAATTTATTCATTTAGTTAAATTCTACAAGGAAATATGAGATGAGAATATCTGATGAGGTCAAACAAACTGATTACTGTCTGAGGCACCCTATCTAAAAAAAAAAAAGTAGAAAAAATTCTAAAAAATATGATAGAAGTGTTTCATGTCATGCTCGTGATAATGCCTTGAAATTAACCCCTAAAATGAAAAAAAAAAGTAAAACAGTGACAAACATTTCTATACTACGACCAGTATTTCCATGTTACTGCCAGTACAAATCCCCACTTAGGTAATTAACTCAATAACTGCCTAAATGTCGTGGGAAATGGGTTAAAAGCTGCCATCCAGCAGGTAAAATACACCTTTACGTGAATTCATGCCTTCTAGTCAGTCAAACACGGGCCATCAATGTTCCATCAATCTGCAACCAAAGCAATTTACCTGTAATTAAACAAATTTGTTCTGTAGGTTGGAAAAGCCTGTGCAGGAACATATATACTACACCTATTTCTCCCTGTAAATTAAACTGAAACTAGTATAAATATGCGAACTTCAAAATAGCAATGTTGGCCATGGGATTACATGGATAAATCTAGTGAAAAAAGTGAAAAAAAGAAGAAAAAAGTGAAAAAAAGAAAAAAAACTTTAAGAATATAATAAACAACATACTTTCCTTCAATAGTTTTCTAGCATTTGACAGTTGTCACTCTATGAAAATATAAAAACCGTGTTTTTGGTCTTCAATCCTCAATCCTAAAAATATTGCAATTGCTTATTTTTTCACGCAATCCAACCCTGAAAGGAGCTGAGGGTATATTATATCAACTAGACATATGGTGAAAATGCAGAAGAAATTAAACATATATGAATCAGTATCAAACATAAACATATTAAACTAGATCATGTTATTCAATAATTAATGCAATACAGGAATGCAAGAATATAGGGCGACTTATTACAAATACAATTTCAATAGTATTTTATTCATCATACAATATACCTTCAATATCAAAACCATCGAATATGCAGACCACATAATCACCATATGAATTCCTTCTAGTCTAGTGACATCACCAATTACTTGACTCAAAACTTTCATAGCATCACTGAGTTATACACCGTTACCATAACGACCAAGTTAAAACCATATTATAACCAAGTGGTCCATTTCTCACCTTGTGAAGCTCCTGCACCGCCACCGCCACCAATTCCACGGGAGGAAATATTCTCCAACTTGCTCGCCACCGCCTCCAAACGGTTTACTAGGGCTTCCAACTGGGCCATCACGACAGGATCAACCTCTTCCTCTTCCTTACGGACCTCTTTAGGGGGTGTGGGTGCCTTCTGCTTCACCAAGTGCTCAGGTACTTTAAAAACAGGGGGTCTTGGGGCGTGGCGCTTGGCTGAAGATACAGAATTGGTGCTGTCTTGGCTTGTGGGTCGTGTTTCTTCTTTAGTGACCTCTGGTGGCGGAGATTTCCCCTTTTTCACAGGAGGAGGGGCACTGACCGGTGCTGAGCTCTCGACTGTCTGTGACTTTTGAACTTTGACCTCAGGCTCTTGAACCTCAGGCTGAACTTCTTTTGGAGGCGAGGGTGTTTTTTCTTTTGTTTTACTAGGTGCCTTTACCTCGATAGTTTGGGCTGGCTCTGGTGTATTTTTGGGTTTTTGTTCCAACTGTTCGTCTGTGACTTCGGTAACCTTGTATTTCTCTGGGCTGCTACCTTTACAACAACATAAGAATCCTCTTGAAGGCATTATACTTTATACTTTGGGTCAAGGTCATTTCAGGGTTAAGGTCATAACACCTTAATGTCAAGGTCACTTTTCCCTGAGAGTTGAGTTTACCCTGTGGTCAAGACTAGTGGCACTTGGACTCAGCCCTTCACTTTACTTAAAGCTGAAACGTGAAATTAGGCTGCTCGAGAACTGTCATCAGCAGAGATTTCTTTCCAGCCAGTATATAGGTAGGCATATAACTGGTAGCTCAAATGACAACCTAAACATAACTTTATAATTTACAGTCACTTACCTTATATATAATGAATTGTTTCAATTGCAATAAAAATATTTCATTCTTATGCAGATTTGGTGCAAGAATGATTGCATGTGCATGATTCTCTCTCACTCTCTCTCTCTTAGCCCCAGCTTTTTCTCTGTCTCTCCCTCTCTTTCTTTCTTTCTCCCTCTCTCTTTTTCCTTCTTTCACAAACATAGGCACACATGCATGCAAATACACACACTTCTGTCTTTTTCCACACATACATCCTTTTCTCTCTCTCTCTCTCTCTCTCTCTCTCTCTCTCTCTCTCTCTCTCTCTCAATTTGTTGCTATTTTCGTTGTTCCCCTCACCTCTAAGTATAGAAAGCAGCAGCAGACATTTTCTACCAAACATAAAGCATCTTCAATTATTTACATTGTAAATCCTGCACTATGAGCCACCAGTTACAACCTTGTATATATATATACTGCTGTGAAAAGTTGCGCAGGTAAGTAGAAGTCAAAAAAGGAGATTTCCAAATTAATCATGTGCGTGCAAACAATCCACACTGCCACGTTCCGATTAATGTTAGTCAAAGAAACAGTGCAGTCAGCAAAGACACCCACTTAGTAAGATTTTTAATCAAGGTGGAACGACACACGCCTGTAGAGGTAAACAAGATGCAGGGGCCATCTCAATACCAGATAACAACATTAATACATTAATTTCCAACATATGCCTGTCAAAACTGTGACAGTCTATTGACTTATGGATTTTGCATTGATTTCCAATTGTTTTGTATAATGGGTGCAGCAAAATGAGATGTTCTATGTAAGGGTGTGAACTACAAACTGTTTGACTTTACTCTAATATTTTTCAAGCAAAGCGTTTTTTGGACAGTAGTCAAAAACTGCAAGCTTCTAATCTAGACACAGCAAACAGAGAAGAAATATGCTTCAACTATGTTTAACTTCAAATTAAAAACACTGATTATGTTGTCACTATCAAAAGTGAAACAATATTAAACATGCCACTAAAAAACTTAGACATGCAACTGATATTTGATAGTGTTTTCTTTATGCATTTTAAAGTAATTTAATTAATTTCACTTTCAAAACAGTATTCCATGAAAGTATTTAAATACAACAATTTTTAAAATTACAACTGCAGATTTTAAGAGCGTTTTCCAAACTGGACTTGTACACAGCATCTATGAATTTATTATTATTATTATTATTATTATTATTATTATTATTATTATTATTATTATACCCACAGGGATTAAGTGAGGCAAATTATATGGTCATTAGAAGCTTAGTGTTAAAACAGACATGTTATTTTTACCAGATTTTCAAAACTGAGGAAAAATGCATTTAAAAATATATATATTAGTGAAATTAAAATGTAAATGTAAAATTTTCTTCGTCTTTATGGACATACTAAGATTTGAAAAATGTATGTATTGAGATGGTCCCTGTCTAGTATATCCCCATAAAGAAGTGTAAAGAGGATTACAATCCAGTCACAGCAATGGGAGCAAAACTAAGTGCCACAGCAATAAAACCAGAGTGATCACCAGGCATGAGCACACAGGGGGCAGCTCAAAACTCAACAAGGGGATGACCTAGATAACAAGAGCATTCAGGGGGTGTATCAAAACATCCAGGTGTGAAATATGTGACATGTCCCCTTGAGGGACCCCCTAGTTTTAGACCTCAATGGAAACTTACTATTTCACATCAGCATGTCTCTGCTGTTTCTAGTAACACCCTGAATATCAAAAGTCGCTGGAAACTTCCCTTCTCATTATCAACATGCCCATGATTGGGGTGAGTTTCCAGTTCTGACCCTCAGGGTGCATCCAAGGGGTAAATTTAATTTTCTTTACTAATTTTGACTTAAATATATCACTAAATTAATACATTTGTAAAGACAACAGATACATTGCCAAAAGCAATATAAATTTCAGTGATGGTCAAAAACAGCTATAGAATAAATTCTGTATTTTAGCCATCGTAATTTTGTCTCAAATTCTTCTCACCTGAGTTGGTGATACGCCCCCTGGCAAGTTTACTTGCCATAAAATACAGGTAAAGTTCAACATGAGCATACTTCAAATGCCACTTTAACAATCAGATGTATCATAGCAACTGTACTGCCAAAGAAATTTATTAAAATTCTAAGACTAAGGTAAAAAACTTTATAAATACAAAAACTGGCAAAATTACAATCTACTCTGATACTGTTAGACAGAAAATTTTCAAATTCATAAAAGAATTTATTCAAGACTATATGTGACAGATTCACAAGACATAAGGCTACTAGTAAGGAAATAATATATGGCAGTGCAAATGAGATCTCGAAAATTAATACACATAATGATAATACACTAAGACTTTGAAAGGCAAATAATCTGAAATACATACAAAAGTCTCATGGATGAAAGAATGTATTATAAAGGAAATCCTTGTTACAAATCAAAATTGAAACATATTTCATTTGTTTTACTTCAGATGATAAGTATGCATTGCTGGTCGAAGTGCATATAGATTTTGATAAAATTCAAATATTTTACTGTTTGACATAAAGCCAAAAACATATCTGAGGAGAGAGAACCCCCCCCCCCCTCCCCCCCCCCCCCCCCTGCACCTACTGGTGAAATCCTAGCCTAGAATTTCAATTTAACTAATAAATGCAATATCCAAGACTTCTTTGACCACATATCATCAGGATGTCTTTAAAATATTTATCTTCATTTATATTTTGAAAATTTGTATTGAAAGTTACATGACAAAAACCTGATATGAATAACTGTGTAGATCAAAATTTTAAAATGCATAAAATTTAGTCTTATTTTCGGTTTGTAATCAATTAATCCAAAAAATAATTAATTAAGTTTTCAAATTCTTTCAAATAAATCTATACCCAATACTAAATAACAAACCTAAAACTGGAGACAGATATGTGCCCCTTAAAGAATTGCACCTGTGATGTCTTACCTTGTCCAAAGATATTAAGACAACATATTACTCCCACAAGTAGGTCAAAGTGACACAAATCACCTTTCAAACCAAATATAACCATGACTCATTCCCTATCAGGGTAATATATCCACATTTCCATACAAGGCAATATTGTCATTGGGCATGACACAATCCATTATGTCACATGGATATAAATCTATTATCTATATATGGAAAAAATTGTGACATGTGGTTTGGGAGCAATCATCTTGATAACAATTTAGAGGTGGCATATTGTGTGGTGGTGGATAGTAATTATATGTTAAGGCTGATTTTGGATACATATATGTGTGTGTGTGTGTTTTTGTGTGTGTGTGTGTGTGTGTGTGTGTGTGTGTGCGTGTAAAATCTATACTATGTATCAGCACTAAATCACAGGTTGGCGAAAAAGATGTGAAGACATCACTCTTTTTTTTAAATATATGTAATAACCATTTTTTCTTTGTGATGTCCTTCTTGATAGACAAAGGTATAAGACTGTTTGAAAATAGCATTTAAGTAAAGCACACAAGACTTTCAAATGAGCTATGCTAAGGAAATACTGTTGTAAATCTGTAGTATGTTATAGGCTGACACTCAAGCCCCAGGGCAAGTACTGTACAGTAATATCTCGATCTTTTCAATGGGGGGAAATTATCAATTTTACAGATACTATATTTGTAAGTTAATGATTTCTTAAAATTAGAACATTCCTTTTGAATGTAGCAAAAAAAAAAAAAATTTTTTTAAGGCAGGCTACTCTATAGTTCTTTTCAATGCAGTAAAAGCACCACAAATGCCATACAGAAATATAACTCTGTGTTTATAAAATGATGTCGGAGAGTTTGATTATCTTAGCCCATTTAAAAGATCAAGTCATTAACATTCTAATTTGATAAAAGCATGAGAGGGTATTTACAAAGCACACCTCGAATCATCTCAAAAGTTTTACAATGTAAAAGTGTAACCCATGTACTGGTACATACGTTTCTTGTTAACACGTACTACAGAAGAAAGTGAATGTGAAATGTTTATCGAGTCAACAGAATGGAAAGCAATAAGTTTTGTGAAGAAAAAAAACAACTTCAGATGTATAAGAAACCAAAACAAGAATAAGACTTTTAATTTGTTATTTTGGAATCTTTGACATATAATCTAGAAATGTATAATATACTTTCTGATACTAATCAGGAAATAGCCAGTCACAAATGTTTACATTATTATTATAAATTTGATGGACACTATATGAAGGCGGTGGGTGTTATAAAAGCAAGAAAGGTTAGTTATCTTAGCACTTAATGTGAGATGCCCCTTCCTCACCTAACATTTAATGGTTTCGGTCACGTACCCGAGGTCGAGTATAAAATTAGGTCAAACTTCTTTCCCTTAAAATGCCCTTTACAACAAATTGTTTATACGTATCAGCAGACTTCAAAAATCTTCAAAAATCTTCCAGAGTGCCACACAGTATGTCACATTTTACAAAATAATGACAGTGATGTAAAATACCCAATGAAAACATTCAACCGGCGTTTTAAAGAAAGGGGGCTGCCATATTTAGTCATCGACGAGTTGAGTCATTCATACATGCTGTTTTCTTCTCTACTCTACATCCAAGCTTTAAAACCCCGATCTTTTATTAAACAATAACTCTAGTGCATAGCACCTACTGCATGCCAAGCTTCAGATGTAGGTTTACTTGTCCAAAAACTTACCAACTCTGAGGTCCCCGACTCACTTCCTAGTTATGGGGCGGGTTACCGGAAACGAAGGGCATGACGGGAGAGAGGGAAGTAGAAATAGAAAGCAGGTGCGTCAGGTGCGCTAAAAGAGGATGCGTCAGACAAGAGCGACTTTATTTGAAAAAACAAATATTTAAGAGTCAATGTAAGTAAACATATTCGACGAACTTTGTTTATTCGTGCATGAGCATTTTTACAGTGAATATTTGAAAACTTTTTCCCCAGTTTTGGCCAAAACTCGTAAAATTTGGATGACCTAAAGATGATCCAATACATTATCTTATCTGACAATTAATTTAAATATTATCATGAATATGAATTGTCATCTTGTTATTGTCATAAATTATGTTATCTTGTTATTGTCATAAATTATGTTTTTGTTTAAAAGGTCCAAGGGAAGAGACAAATTAACGAATACCCTAAACACCTCTCTCTCTCTCTCTTTTTCTCTCTCTCTCTCCCCCCTCTCTCTCTCGATAAATGGCATGTAAAATGCCTCCTTCCCCAAAGGCAACAAAGGCTAAATCTTACAATTCTCACAAATAGTCAAAGTAGTCCAAATAAACGACAGCTAAGTGTGACCATTGTGACAGTTGTGACAATTGTTGTGCCATGATTGTGTTATAGCCTTGGTGGCAGCAATCCTCCCCATCTCAGCAGACACACGAAGATTTAAACTATCAAATCACAGGCAACTTTGGATGATAATGATAAAAATTTGACTGTTCAATTTCTGCACAATAACCTGAAAGAGAAACTGAGAGCTTTGTCCATCTCAGCAGACACATGCATGAAGATTTAAACTTTCAAATAACAGGCAACTTTGGATGATAATGATAAAAATTTAAAACTGTTCAATTTCTGCACAATAACCTGAAAGAGAAACTGAGAGCTTTGGTCCCAACCAGAAGGATATAAAGATACTACACTGACCAGCTTTAATCAGATCTTAAAACTGTTTTTATTTTTTCTTTTGTAAACTCTCATACCTGCTTCTTCCATTCCTTGAAAGTAAATAAATCTGGGAACCAACATATTTCTTACTGCATTACCCTACATTTTTAATATTCCTAATAAGATATTATTTTGTAAGTGCAAAATCTTCAAAGTTTTTATTTTTTAATTACTAGTATCATTTTTTATTTTCATTGATCTTCATGCTATGCATGCACTACTGTACATGAAGCATCAACTGAGTTAACTTGGACCTTTTAGGGCATCATCGACCAGATAATGTCAGTACAGGAAGGCTTAAATCAGACAAAATGGCACAGTGACAAGTTAATCACATCAGGACAAACAGATAATCTGTCCTATTCACCCCAAATGATTGGTCGCCAAATCCTCCATCACGGAGGCTCGGTCACGCAGGCTCTCCAAACTGTCAAGGGTGGAGTGATTTACTTTAACGAATCTATTGCTTTATATGCTTTTCCTTCTGGTATATATCTTTAGGTATGTGATTATAAGCCACGGTGCTCAGTGCCTTTTGCAAAGTGGTTATTAAGGCCACTGTAGGCCGAGTGGGGTGAGGTAGTGTATATTTTTTTTAATGGTATTTTACTTTCATTTTCTTGTTTTTCTTCATCTAAGCATCATTCTTCTTTCTTCTTTCAAGCTATCTTGTGTCTCTTTATAGAACTTGTTATTATTTTGGGCCGTGCTTTAATCATCTCTAAGATATGTTTTTCTGTGTTTTTTGGCAATGTTCATCCTCTCTCTCTCTCTCTCTCTCTCTCTCTCTCTCTCTCTCCTGTTTGTCTGTACTTTTTAACTGGAATTATGTATGAATAAAACCACAATCAATTCCACTCAAAGTGTCAATGGACTTTCTAAGACATCCACTTACTTACTCAGGTCATAATAAACCCATACCCTTGATATAATATCTCATACTCATACGTACAGTATTTAACTGAACAGTGCAGGTGGCCTCAGGGCAAGCTGTCAGCCCCTCACTTTTGTATTACACATAATTGTTGTTAAACAGAAACAGTGATGCTCAGCTATTTTTAGAAGAATTTTGACCAGAATGAAAAAAATGGACAAATGAGTGAGATGTACATGCTGATTTCAACAGCCCTGTAGCCAGGGATGGGGGGGGGGGGGGGGTTGTCAAGCAAACTGCCCTTTTTACTGGGAAAAGGTCTGGGTGACATTTGATTTTATGGCACATTGAGGTTTCATGGTAAATGATCCACTTTTTCAGGAAAGGAACCCCCTCTTTAAAATTGCTGGCTATGAGCCTGCTTTAAGGAGCTTCAGCTTTAAAAAAATAAGTATTTGTATTTGTTTCTGGTACTTGTTCTTAGTTTTTACTCCCTCTCTCTCACTCCACTTTTGTATTCACTATGATTGTACTAGTAATGTACACAGGAATAAAGCAGTTGGTTGCTATTTATTGAAGAATCACATAAGAACAATTTTAAGCTGTTAGAGACATAACTTTGAAGGCTTACAGGATAATATAAAAACATCCTATAACTTTTATTGGGTGTTAATCTTGTTTAAAAATGCTATTGAAAATAAATATAGAGGGATGCACAAAGACCAAAAGAATTTATAGTTCAAATATTACTTTGATGGTGAGTGTATATTGGATAAATAGTGAAAAAAAGAAAAAAATCATATTTTCATTTAAAAATGAGATTTTGCATGATCATTAAAAGGATATGCTTGATATTTTACCCCCACCTTCAGTTGGCAATATGTGTGGCAATTTTGGCTGTCTCTGTTCTGGAGAACAAAGACAGCATTCTTTTCTTTTTTGAAAATGGTATTTCTTGATTCACACACTCAACATCATAATTTTTGTGTCATTCGACATTGATCTGAAATTTGCAGAGGAGAAATAGCATTTTAATACTTTTTTTAATTCTCCATTTGATCCTGTTTAATTTGAACTCTTTTCCATTAACTCTTCATAATTCATTCATAAATGTTGTTCAGTCATAAAATATCACAGCTATCCATCATCATCACTCAATAGATAAACTCCATTTTTTTTTCAACAAATGCATTTTTGATGTTCCAAACATAGCATATCCAAGACATACACTATCAACCAATCACACACCTTTATTTTGATACAAAAAAGCCCCCTTTGCTTTTTGAGTGGTTTTCTTTTACTTTAAATGACTGTGTTAATCCTAAGACATCAAATACAGATTAAAAACACACACATCTTTTTCTGTTCTTTTGTCACATAGAAATATTCCCATAATATGGCTGTTACTTTACCCTCCCCCTGCTTTCAGGTGATCTCATCTGGGTGCCACTCAAGCACACCTATTAGCTCATAGCCTTTCACTTAAGTCTTGGACATACATTTTCTGTTTGTTTTTATTCCTACAGAAACTAGCAGGCTATTTGACTTAGAGATTTCTCTCCTCCTAGGGTGGCTATAGACATTGATGTGAAATCAATAGACGCAATAATAAGAGATAATTCGCGCAGTGTACAAGGTGTGGATAAGTGAGGTGATATATTTCTTAGAGTCCTTTTTATGGCATTCCTGCAGGCCCAGTGTCACTGGGGCGTGGATACAGCTAATAGTGTTGAGAAAGTCTTAATACTTTGAGTTGCTGGGATTAAAATGAGTAGGCAGGCAAAATACTTGTCAGAATTAATGCTTTTAGGGTGTTAGATGGGAGGACATGCATGTGTGCGCGCACACACACGCATGCACAAATATGCGCACATACAGACACGAACATGCACAACACACCCTGCTTTTTCAGACTGTCTGATGATGAAGAACAATATTATAGTATATATATATATATAGAGAGAGATGGAATAAAGGTTCTACCATGCTGCTAAATATAAATTAATATTGTGAATAACTTTGTGACTGGGTCACTGTTACCAGCATATTTTGTCTGAGGTACATGATGAAATAACGAGATAACGAGTGCGTGTGGCACATGGTTCTCTTAATTGAAAAACTAAAAAGAAAAAAAAAAGAAAGAAAGTACAGACATTGCTGTTGTGGTAATAGACTGAATACTTTGAGGGAATGAAGGTGTGTGTGGTGGTGTTGAAAATGTTACACATTTCTAGAATGTATTGCACTCAAATGATGAAAACTCAGGCTGTGTGTTAACTGTGTGTGTATGTGTGTGTGCATACGTGTGAGTGGGTGTGTTTGTTTGTGGAGCTGAGAATTTTCCAGGTAGATTGAAAAAAACATGGTGTTGAAAGTTTAGAAAAGGAAACATCCCTGCAATAACACCCTGGATACTTTGAAAGAGTGAAGAGGTTGAGAGAATGTTACATGTTTCCGCAAAGTATTATCCAAACATTTTTGATAATGTATACCATACACTGTGTGTGTGTGTGTGGTTCAGAACCTACTTGGTTGAAAGATGTGGTATTTGAAGACTAATTTAGTGGCAGTAATACAACATGAAACTCTACTGGTCGGCTGACTACTGTAAATACTGCAGGCAAGACTCAGCTATTTTGAGTTATCACCAATATTTTTTGAAAAATCAGTGCACCAATAATAATAATAAAATAATAATGAAATATTAATAATAAAAAAAACAGATTGAACCATCTCTTCCCACTAGCATTTTTCCCAAAATTATTCAAAAGCAAATGTTCGTTAAAATAATATATTGTCTCTTATG